GACTTAATTCTGCTCCTAAAGATCCGGTCTTGACAAAATGGGACTCATGTCGACCAAACAACGGAAACCGCAGACTGTTGTGCCCACATCGTTACAGAGATCTGCCCTATCAACAAGCACTCGGCAGAAGTCCATGTTGTGAGCTGTGAGCGCAGGAGTCCGGCAAGATGAAAGGAAGAGGACTGTGTTTTACATCGATGATGCTTTGTGCACAGACGCAGTCAAGATGGACTCTTTCATGTTTTCATCTGGCTGCTGCTGTTTACCCCCAGATGCAAATTCAAAAATGCACTGTGTTCTATGGCCTATGTATATAAGTAGCCTAACTGTATTGTTTGTTTGTTTTTATTTTACCATATTTTAATATAAGTCTACACTTAATTGTATGTTGTATATGTAGCATGAAGGAACTGCAATTTTAATTTCGTTATGCTGCCTAGAGCTGTATAATGACAAATAAACAACCTTGTAACTTTGTAACCTTGTTTTAGTGTTTTTCTTCAGCTGAAAGTACAGCTGTGACTCCTGTTGTATGCAGCACAGGCTTTTATTTTTTAAGGCGTCTAAGGTGTTATGGTGTGAGCAGTCAAACCATGATGTTTTTCTACCATGTAATCTAAGAGAGTGTCATCAGATATGGAATTACTGTATGGTTCGACAACTTAACCGTTAAGTTGAAAAACAAGCTTGCCAACATGCACAAAACAGCCATGACAGAGCCTGTATGACCAGGCAGTTATGAAACAGGCTAGGAAAATTAAATCACTCTCAACATCCCCTCTTCCCTGAATAGGAATCCCTGCCATCAGGAAGAAGACTGTGTACCAAAATGCAATCTAATCTAATCGCCTAAAATTGCTAATATGTGCCAGCCTCTGTGTTCTCTGACATGTCCAGAAAAAAAAGTCATAATATTACGAGAATAACGACATTATTCAAGCATTATATTTTTTTAAAGTCTATCTGCCCTGCACTCAGCTGTGCAATAACCTGTGTCATTGCACTGCTGATTTGGTATAGGCTACACACCTTCAGACCATCTGCAGACACAGAACATTTGGGACTGTAGGCCTACTGGATGAGGTGGAAAAACTAAACTTGAAAACACTTTTGATCAGACAGAAATCTCACCACAAACGTTCAGTTCAACACCTCAGATAAAATGCAGCTCACAGTCCCAAACAGAACAAGTCTCAAATTGTAGATGTTTATTTTGCTAATCTCTTTCAGTTAGTTATAGCCTACTGCGACTCACAGTGTTGCAACAGTTGGGTGGAATTACTCGCCCGTTTTTATCAGTTATACCTTCCTTTGTTTTTCACTGCATGGGGAAATAGTTGTGTAACGTGAGAGCATGTGAAAATTGTCAATTGCATGTGTCCCTTGCACAATGCCTGAGAGTTGGCAGCTCTGGTGTTACATTAGGTCTACTTAAAGGTTAAGTTATAGCTAAAGCTTTATTTGCTATTCTGCCTGTTAGCTTTTCACCTTCGCCTGTCAGATATGGTGCTTCTTAACAATCTTTTTGGCCAGAAATCTGGCCTCCCTTTGATTTTATTTTTCTCTGTATGTCTGGCTTCTTTTTTGGGCCTCTGACAGGGTGCAGTGTCCCCATTAAAGCGACTGGCTTTACATTTGGAGGCCGAATGTTTCCACAAACAGCAGGGGGGACTACAGTACTTTTATTAGGCTAGTGAATGGACTATAAGATTCCATGTGCCGTTAAATTAACTGGACAATAGTCGTCTTTTCTCCCATTTGTGTTCATAACGTTAACACTGCTCATAGTTAGGGCCTACTCTTGCCAAATAAACATATAGCCTAGGTTTCTCACACGGAGGGCAACAGACGACAGAAGTGAGTTTAACTGACACAGTCATACATCGACATAGACGGTCAGCATGCAGACTTATTTTTGGCACTTGTAAATGGAACCTTAGCCTATATTTCACATCAGTCATGTTTTTTGTTTTTTGAACAGCTTTGTTCCCAGTGTTTAGGTGAAGTCAGAGTAGGCTATATTTTTCTCCGAGTTCATAAGTAGGAACTCCGCCTTCAAGTGGCGTTACATGACACTTTTTCCATTTGGAGGTTGGAAATTTCTGAGTTACCCGGAACGCAGCATTACCTGCAGCCTGGGAGTTCAATCTCAAAACGTTTTGCAACGGTTTGTCGTCGCTGAACTTGCCCCTGCTTAGGCTGCAGTACAGCTTTTTATTTTGAAATAGCCTATTAACGGTAGATTGAAAATGCAACAAAGATGATTCACGGAGCAGTTATTCATTTATTTTGTGCGTTTGGAGTCTTTCAGAGAGGTGAGACAGAGAGTTTGTCATATTTTATATCGGCCTATGTTATTTTATTGTCTTTATTTTTGCATTGGTTCATGGCAAAATTCTGCTTGAAGTGGAGAACACCACGTGTCAGCTCCCATTTTCACATGTTAGCTTGTGTATGGGTGTGTAGCATTACATTATGAATATCTACAGTGAATAAAATATAGGCTACTAAGCCATATTAGTGATGTTCACAACAAACATTTATTTAACCAGGTGGACAACATTTCAGTTATTACAGTAAAAATATTAAAATGATTGTCACGTTAATGTAGCGTAAGGTTAGGCTAGACCTCACACAGTAGGCTACTCCTATAATCCTCCTCCTTCAAAACCACTACAGAACAGAAGGAAGCCTATAAACAAATAATATTTATTGAATAGGATACATGAATAGGCCTATTAACTTAACGGAGTCTGAGCGTAATGCGAAGTCGTGGTCAAGCCAGCCGCTGGAAGACGCCTAATGTAGAGTTATGGTAGGCTACTGACAGGCTTTGAGCGATGAGAAGGTCCTGTACATGTATGGGTTTTCTGTGATGTTCTAAGTGTTTAGATGGAAACAAACAAGTAGGCCTAAATTATAATAATAATAATTATTGTTATTATTATTCAATGTACAGCCTAGACCATAGATAAGATGCTTACCTATGATGTGGGAGACCAGGGTTCAATTCCCACTGAAAGCCATCCACCAATGTGTCCCTTGGCAAGACCCTTAACCCTTAGTTGCTCCAGAGGCGTGTGATCTCTGACATAGCCTAAATAGCAATTGTAAGTCACTTTGGATAAAAGGTCAGGTAAATGTGCTCCTTTTTTTTCTGTTAGAATGGACCTTATGTGCAGTTGTACTCTAATCATATTAACCATCATATTAATCATATTACCCATAAAAGAAAAGCCCATAAAATACATACCAGTAATAGCCTAGAGAATTGAACTAGGGGAGAGTGGGGTAAGTTGTCTTGTGTGTAAGTTGTCACACTGCTCATAACTCCAACACTAGAGGCTCTATGTCAAAAATATAAATAGCCATTTTGTGTGACTTCTTTTTCTATGTTCAACTTGCTGTTCACATGTGGTCAAGGTCACTCTAATCTGAGGTGAGCACAATTTTATTATTTTTTTGCTTCAAAAGTAAAACATTTGCACTTTACATTTTATGTATTCCAACCTTATTAGGTATGAATGTTCAAAATGATAACTTTGCACAAAGTAGAGGAGACAATAACGTGTCTTTACAACAGCCAACATTAGCACACGTCAGTTTGGGGCAAGTTGTCTCAATGACTTTGGAGCAGGTCGCCACGTGATTAGTTGCCCCTGTACAAATAAACATAGAACCTTCTCAAAAAACTATGTGAAATTGTGTAATTACCTCTGACACAAGTATTAAATGATACTGTAAACAGAATATTATGCACTGTAGTTTACAGCAGCAGCCATACACCTGGACAAGACTGAATTCATGACAGAGTATATATGGTCTTATACCGTAGGCATGTAGTATGTTAGTAGATACAAACACACACACACACACTACATGATCCAGTTATTAATGTAGTTAGGCAACAAGGGTAATAGACAAATAAGCTTGTAATTGATTTGTAATTGGAAGTAGGAATGTGTTTTTGAAGGAAAGAAGAAAATTATCAACAGAAGACAGAGAATGGCAGTACACCACCTGACATAATGTTAAAGGCAGTCAGGCAGGTGAAATCAAAGAACAAATCAATCATAAGTACAGCTAAGAATTTTGACGTAAGCCGCTGACATCTCTTTTGGCCTCATCTATGTGGAGCCATTTTCATGCAGTATTCCAAAGAAGACGTGGTTTAAGTTTGTGAAATGCAACAAATGGGCCTGCTATGGTTGCACCACAGGCCAGGCAGGTATGTGTGCCAGAACTGTGAACTCTAAACACATGTCTGACTAGTCAGATACATATGTACGTCATACAAAAATGCACATTGTTGCATTAGTGTGTTTAAACACCACATCTGTTTAGTTAAGAAGTTACACATTTAATAAAGTTATCTGAAGCATTATATTCAATTAGCATAGATCTATTTGCACTCCAGAGAACGTTTGATTTTGAAGTTCAAAGAAAGACGTCCCACTTAGTGTGTGCTCTGCCAACATTTTTGTTTTGAATTAAATTATTGATTTTCCAAATTCTCTAGGCTTGTTTGCTGATTGATTTTACTTTTAGTTCTGGTGACAATTTGAAATTGAAATCAATATTCACAAATAAGTGTTCTAACCAGTGTGACAACTTACCCAATACAGTGTGACAACTTATATGCCGATGGGGCAAATTGTCACAAGTGCACACTCTCTATTCAGAAGTCTACAGCTCTATAATGAGATAAGATATGAAGATGTAATGAATACAACACTTCTGTCCAAGACTTTATTCTTTCATTTGGTATGACATTTGTACCATTGTGATGTACAGTGCTCAGTAAATATTAGATGGTGTGAAAAGTGTGACAACATACCCCGTTCTCCCCTATAATAAGAACACTGTAAAGATAATTAGGCTACAAATTTACTCCATGCATGCCAACAAGCCTCCCTGGCTTTGTCGGCCGCCACGATATTAGATTTAGCCATTAACTTGTCTTTACATTCATAATTTCCTGGCACTACCAATGTGCATTCCTCTGGAGAAATACGGAGCATGCGCCGTTGCAAAAAAACTCTGCCTGCACGGCCGCGCACCAACTCCAATTAAGTTAACACTGGGTTAACACCATAGACTGTATATAAAAAGTCGGTTAACACCGACTCAACCAACCAACATCTTATTCGCCTTCGTAGTAGGCTACCGTTTAACTCCAGAGTAGGCATTCAGACTTTGTCAACCCTGATTTTGCCAGATAACCCCGAGTTAACTCTGAGTAGGTTGAACTCACTTGGCCACAGGCCACTGGTAAGAAACTACTCCAAGATTTCTGGCTAAGGGATTAGCATAAGTTTCCAGTTCAACCAGGTTGCATGATTTGAGTTCAATGAGCTGAAGAACCAAGTAGCAGTAACATCCGATTTTGTAAAATTTTATTGTAGGATGTTTTGTGGCATACAGTTATTTCTTTTTGCAATGCATTTGTGTAGGAGCCATTTATGTTTATTGTTGGCATGATATTTTATTTTGTTTGAATATATTTATATTAGCATTTTGGACACTGGGTGGCAGTGATTAGATGCACATGGTTGTATATAGAGGGCACAGGTGACAGGAAGTGGTAGGCACAGGTAGGGGGAGCACAAACAGTTCTCACCAGACCACAGAGCCATACTACAGAGCAGAATACACGCAAACAACTGGAAACAAGATAAGAAATCAACCGGTATGTTCATCTGTTTGTACTATTTACCACTGCAATAAACCACAAACCTCAACTGCAATAATCTCTCTGGAAAATCTTGTGTGTCTGCGTAAAAACTTCACTCCTACCTGTGCATGATGGCAAAGAGATTGGAAATAAAGCTAAAGGTAAAGCAAGGAAAGATTGCCATTACAAATTTGTGAAGAGTTGTTGTAATTGTTTGAAAGCCACTTTATCTATATGATTTTGGATAAATAATAAAAATGTTGATTATAAACAAATAGAATTAAATTTTCTTATAATTATTCAAGATCTAAATTTTATTTTTATTTTTTTTTCAGGAGAGCTTCGACCAGAGCAGTTCTAAAATGAGCAGGGGCACAGCTGGAGGCCAGGGAGCTTATAGTCAAGATGAAAGGTCCAAAATTAGGCTTAAAATTTCCGTCAATAGTCTGGAAGGGACCTCATCCAGGGGACAAGTTGATGACATTATATGGTTAACCATATCATTGAGAGCAGTAAGATATAGTGATTTGAGGAACTGAAGGATAATGACCACATGATCTATGGGTCAAAGGCTCTGGGACAGATTGGTTTTGGGGCCAGCAGCTAACAATCTGGGATCTAATTTTTTCAATTTTATCAATAAGAAATCTTTTAAACTGCTTGCAGAGGTCAGATGATGCAAGCAAGTTGTTGTTAGGAGGGGCACCAACAATCCGGTCTAGTGTTAAACAATACTTTTGGGTTTGGGGCATTCTTAGTGATCAAGGTGGGAACGTAAGCTGCTTGTACATCATTAACTGCAGCATTGTATTTCTTCATTAAGGTCTTCATGTACTCATACCAAACATGAAGTTTGCAGGCCTTCTGCTTCCTTATGAGTTCTTCTGTCAGCGGCACACATTTGGTAACATTTTACTGCACCAACTGAAGAAATCACACTTTAAAATCACCTCAATGAGAAATAAATTACAGCATTACATTTCTCTGAACTTTGACTTTTCATTAAACCAATGTGAGAAGTGCTGGTGTTCTGACAATTAATGCTGCCTTGTCAAAAAATGCTACCTTATTAAATCGATAGTGTTGGCCTCTATCCCTACCCTTACCCCTAACCTATGTGCATGCACAGAACAGCAAGGTAGAACACTCAAGAGAAAGATGGTTTTGGTGATTAATTGTGAAGATACTTTGGCACTGGTTAATTGCTAGAGACATACATATATTATATCATATATCCTATTCCACTTTTCTTTGAGATGGACTTCTGTATTCTCGCCTTTTACATACCAACCACAGTGTGATGTCTTCTCCTGCAGGTCTAACAGCTCTGATAGAAACACAGGAGACAGTGATGGCAGCTGTGGGAGGAGAGGCTCGTCTCAACTGTCTGCTGATGCAACCTAGAGATGTTCTTCAGGTCACATGGCAGAAACCTTTAACTGAGGGGGAGAAGACTGTTGCCACCTACAACAAACACTTTGGTCAGCTGCTTCCTCCAGCGCGTACATCAACAGACAGGGCGAAGTCCAACTCCACGGCTCTTTTGGCGCTGGCAGGGAACCTGTAGACGTGGGCATCAGAACACCTGCTGTCTCTGAAAGCGCTTCACGTCCCAGGCTTGGAACGGTGGTGGCTGACCTCATGTTGAGGGCTGGCCCCCAACCGAGCGGGTAGAGACTGCACAACAATGTGGTTCAGCAGATCTGAGCTCTCTTCGGGAGAGCGGAGGTGGATCTGTTTGCCAACACCCACTGCCCGCTGTGGTTCTCATTTCAGCCACAGGACAGCCCACCCTTGGGGATGGACGCGTTACACACGCACCATTGCCAGAGGGGCTACTGTTTGCGTTCCCCCCCACCCCATCTTATCCCTCCAGTTAGTTGAGGCGGGAACGGTCGTTAGTCATTCTGGTAGAAGTGACGCAGCCTACAGTGACAGAGCCCTGGCCTGTATCTATGGTATGGGGGGCTCTGTCACCAGGGTGAGGCTTCATATGCACAATGCTGGTGTTGGACCAGCCTCTCCAGGTTTTTCTCCTAAAATTGTGGAGAGGCAGACTCAGGCTGGTCTAGCCGCTGAGGTCGCACAGACCATCCAAGCGGTGGGCAGTCTCCACCACGTATTGTTGTAAAGCTAAGTGGTTGGGCTTTCAGCGTTGATGCATTGAGAGGGAGACGGATCTGCCTACCTGTTCGGTGGGATGCGTTTTCTCTTTTCTACAAGGTCTGAAGGAGAAGGGGCTGTCGTGCTGCAGCTATTACTTCTGTCACAGGGGGTTTGGTGACTAGTGAATAGTCTTCAGCCACTTCCTCGTGATGCACTTTCTGCAGGGTGTGAGAAGACAGCGACCTGTGTCGTGTCTCTTGGCGCTTCAGTAGGACTTGCTGCTTGTGTTGGTGGCTCTAATATCTGCACCTTATGAGCCCCTGGAGCAGTCCTCATTGAAAATGCTATCTCTTGAACTGCCCTGCGCCTTGCTCTCACCTCTGCTAAGAAGGTGAGTGAGCTATGTGCCTGTCGGTTCACCCCAGCTGCATGCTGGTTCTTGGTGTCCACAGTGCAGCCAGATTGAGACAACACACCTCCTTTGTTCTTAAGAACATAAGGAGCATGTTCAGGTCCAGGACAATAAATCTGGATGCTTTCTACCCCCCTACCCCACTTAGGGTGCAGGGAGGTGAGAGTGCATCTGTTGTGTCCATGTGTACTAGGCTAACGTCCTATGTAGAGCACACAACCCCATTCGATGCACTGATCAGCTGTTTGTCTGTTTCAGTGATAGTGCAGTCAGTAAAACCCTGTCCAAGAAGAGCCTGGCCAGCTGGCTTTGTGAGTGAATCTCCCAAGCCTGTACATGGGTGCACATTCCACTCAGAAGTGTGGAAGTGTCTATGACCCTTTTTCAGCGGGGTGTGTGTCGAAGAGATCTGCACAATGGCATCTTGTCCCTTACTGTGTCTGTTTGTGCATTTCTATCTCTTGGATGTGTCGGACTCCTTCTCGGGATCCAGCTCGCAAGTGCGACCTAGGATCTGAAAAGTGAGGATCTGGTGACTACTGGGTGTAGAGGGGGAACATACACTGGCAGTGCCTGATGTTCCAGTGAGAAGTCAGGGCAGAGCAGGTGTTAATGGTCAGGCCAAGCCCCTATTGGTCCAGCGACCTTCTCAGGGGTGTCCCTCCATTCTGTCATTTGGTGATGTGGTGGTCGGGGCTTTGGCTGGCTTGTGGCCGACCGGGTTGGTGTGGTGGACTTTGGCTTGTTGCAGCTAGGGTGGACAGTCATCGGGCTCCAACCACTGTACCCATAGAGTCCAGTAGAGGGCGGAGCCTGTGTGAGATAGAACGAAGGTTACAATATGGTAACCCTAGTTCTATAAGCACAGGCGAAGCCCTCTACCGATGAGCCCTGCCACTCTGACGCCATCTGCTGAAGAGGCGGTCAGATGCTGAGGCAGTAGGGACACTGCTATTTATTAGTCACGCACGTATCGGTAGCGACATCCTATTGGTCGGCTAAGTGCACGATAAAATTTCAGTGGGCAAGTGCATGCGTGTGATTGGAGGAGGTAGTACCCATAGAGTCCAGTAGAGGGCTCTGCCTGTGCTTATAGAACTAGGGTTACCATATCGTAACCTTCGTTTTCACCACCCTCTGTAGACTATCTAGGAGTCCATGTTGAGCTTCCTCAGCCTATGGAGGAAAGATGAGCTGTTGTGTCAATGTCTTTGTGATGGTGTCGGTGGTGTGAGGTCCTCACTAATGTGAACCGCGAAGAACCTGAAGCTGCTGACTCTCTCCACCGTAGTCCCATTGATGGTGATGGGATTGTGTCCGTTTCTCTGTCACTTCCTGTAGTCCACAATCAGTTCTAGCGCCGGTGATAAGAGTCAGTGTGGAGGATGTGGTGGTTCCTATCAACACATCCTGGAGTCTGACTGTCAGGAAGTTCAGGTTCCAGTCACACAGGGCGGTGTTGAGTCCCAGGTCTCTGAGCTTGCTGATGAGCTTGAAGGGCACAATAGTATTATTCTTTGATCTATTTGGCCTCTATGTTAATTGTAGTTGGTCCAGTGAGTCGGGGGGAGAAGAGGTGATGAAGGTTTTGACTAACTGCTCAAAGCACTTCATGATGGTGGAGGAGAGTGCTACAGGGTGTAGCTCTTCATTAAGAAGGCTTTAGACTTTTTGGGTACAATGGTGGTCTTTTTGTGTGGACTAGTACATGTGATATTTTAAATATTTGAAATTTATTTTCTCTGCAGAGCTGCATGAACCTGTTCTACATGTTGGAGAATCAAACTCTGCTAAAGAGGCACTTGTGTCCTGCTCGGCCACAGGTCGACCTGCTCCCACAGTAACATTAAGTGTCCTGCCACACAACGGCCACTTTGCTAACCACAGCTCTGTGGGAGTCACCAACACCAATGGTACAGTCACTGTCACCACTACAGCTGTGCTGTCTCGTCTCCATCATAACAGAACACAGGTTGGATGTGCAGTGCAAGTGCGCTCTGCTCCTCAGATAGAGGTGTTGGTGATGATTCCTGAGGTCAAACAGTCGTCTGCTGCTGGTGAGAAACACTTCCAAAACTACACACTTGTGAAATGTTGATGGGCAATCTTGCCAGAGACAAGTCCGACTAGTTTTAAATGGATAGCGGCGGTGCGGGGCAGGTGGCAGAGTGGTGGGAGAAGGGGATTACCATAGTAATCTTTACCCATTACCACTGATGACAAAGTTGCCCTGCACGATTGCTATAAAAGTTGCTCTGTGTATCATCAGCTTTACAGATTGGTCAATACTTTATGAATCTGATGTTTTGGTTTCTGTTTCCAGGTTCTGATGAATCTGATGACTGTAGTCGCAGTACGTAAATGGTCAGGTATTTCCATTTGATCTGTTATTGAGTGTATTATATCAACAATTTCCCCTCTTTTTATCAAAGGTTGGACTTCAATAATTTTATTGTCAGTGGTAGGGACTGGTGGTTGTGTTGCTGCAGTCATCTTTTTCTGGCAACATCAGAGCAGGTACTTCTTTCAGTCAAATAAATCAAATAGTTAAAATATCTGTGTCTCAGTTTATGAGAGCTGATCAGTGATTGTCCAATATAATTGTTGTTAAATCCTTCAGTCTGACACACGGGGACATTGAGGAGAATGAGATGCATCAAACTACAAACGGAGACACTCAGGAGTAATACTCTCATTATACTGTAATTCTTCACTTTCATAATACTTGTATCTAGTTTAGCTATGAGAGCTGATAAATGTTTGTTCAGAATTGACTTTTCTTAAATCCCTCAGTTTGTCACACAGAGACTCTGGATATCAAGACACAATCAATAGAAGGCCCTAACGAGTAAGATAATTTATTAATTTTCACTTGTACACATCTGTTTATTGCTTTCTAGTACAATTATTTAAGCTATCCTCACTCGGTCTGTTTCAGTGTTCACTTTCCAACCTACCGTCTTGCATCTGTACGTCTCTAACTGATGTGTTGTTTATTCATGAAACCTGTTGTGATGCACTTTACTCCTCATTGATCATTGTGTATTCATGGTCAGCATGTTCAACCTTGTAACTGTTTTTAAGATTGATTTGGAAACTGAATAATGCTTTCTTCTTATCTGAAGAACCAGGGAACAGAAATCTAACGAACGACAACCTAAAGGCATCATCTTCAACCCAAAGAAGACTTTGTTTTGACTAATGTAATTGACTCAGAATAACCCACAAGAGCCAGTACTGAGCCAGACCTGAACGGAAACTGCATGGGAGGCAAATAATCCTGCTTTGTAAATGACATAAAAGATTACACTGCAAACCCTGTACAACATTCATCTATTTATTTAACAACTTGGTGAGAGAAAACATGTTTCCCAGTAGTGTAAATAAACGAGTAAATTAAAAGTGTAAATATGACAAAAGTTGTGGGAGAAACATGTGAAGTGACTCTAAATGAAAACTTGGGTTGAGTTCAGTGGTCATGTATTAGTTAATCACATTATCTATTAATTTTATTTATTTTAATGTACACTACCTTCTACTCTTGTCTGTTCCCATGTTAATTTTGCACTGTTCTGTACTATGCCACTTTGTGTGTAAATTTGTCAATGCTTGCTGCCTTGTAGTCGACTACTGTTCTGAAATAATACTGGTATTTGTTTATTATAGTAGCATTTGTATAGAATGAATACTTTAACCTGAGGGAACCTATGTAGGTAATGGTGAATATTCTACTATGTATATGCTCTAAACAGTAATATTTCTTTCTGTTTAGAAATAAAAATATTTCTGCAGAACATACACACAAACACAAGTTAACAAATCTAGCCTAAAGTCTGTTTTAGTGCCCTGGAGAATGAACACTGGGGTCCTGTCAACAACAAAGTCAGCCAGTATGTCCTTTTTCCTTCATTTCACACTGTGTTCAACTCTGCATGCTGTTGCCTGTCTCCCCGTCTGGGCTTCAATAAACAATGCTCTGTAAGACTTCCTGAGTTTCTGAGATCTTCTGCAATAAGAGCTGACCTGCTCCCAACAGAACTATGATGAGTAAACTTACAAAGGCTGTAAAGCATCTACGTCAAAGGTATCCAGCTAAAAATGTTATATTAGGAGGTGATTTTAATATGGTGCTGATGGCTTGATATTACCTTCCCCAAATATCAGGGACACCATTACAATCCTGTAGTTCCTGATCTTTGTAGTGTGTTTAAATTGAAACACACATGGTGCACTGAAAATCCTGGTATCTGAATTATCCCATGGTTTAAACCTGATGGTTCAAACAAATCCAGATCAGACTTTTGGTTAGTGTCCAAACATTTCTATTGCACCTCTAACAGATCACTGTAAACATTTTCTTAAACCTAAACACATAAGGAAAGATGCTCAAGGAACAAGTAGGCAATAATGGAAATTTAACTCAAACCTCTTAAAGAGTGAATCCTTTTGTCAAGATATTATAGCAACAATAAATTTTTTTTTTAATAACTTATAGAGATAAATGGCAATATTTAACATTCATACAGTACCAGTCAAATGTTTAGACACACCCTCCCATTCAATGTTTTATCTTTATTTATATATTTTCTACATTGGCGATTGTGCAAAGATGTCATGAAACAAAAGGTGGCTACTTTGAAGAATCCTTGCTAGATAATATTGACATTACTAAAGCCAAAAAGGCATATTTAAGAACAAGGGCAAAGTGGATAGAGGAAGGTGAAAGGAGTTATATTTGGAGCATATTTCTGTAGACTGGAACATATGAAGCAAGAGCGGAATGTAAAGGCTCTGATCAGCGATATTTAAGAATGTACAGACCCTAATAATATTTCTAAGGACATCTTCCAATTCTACAGTAAACTGTCCTCTTCCTCTTATTCATGCATAGCTGTTAATACTTTCTTTGAGGATATTGAAAAACTCATCCCTACAGTGGATGAAAGTTTCAAAAGTGTGTATATGATGCAAACATCAGTGTGGATGAACTGGAAAAGAAAACATCTTGCACACAGAACAGAGCAAATAGGAACTGCTTAATTGATTAAGTGATCTCTAAAATGGACATGTGCCACAATAAGGTAGTTATTTTACAACAAAATAAGGATAACTAGCTTTCTATAACATTTAACTGATATATAATATATTGCATAATATATATAATGTCTATAATTTTCTGCATACTATTCTGTCCTTGTAATTTTGAACTTTATTGTTCAATATTTGTCTGCACTTTAAATGTTATTGCTTATTGGATATCTACCCTGACAGATTTACTGTATTGTAACTGTGGTGTAGTGTCTATGTGAGTTAGCAGTATTGTTTTAATCCCAATCCAACCTGTGTTATGTTCATGATTGTTCTCCATAATTTCTAATGATCATCTCTTTTAGTAGTTGTTGTTTAGTTGTTTATTCTCTGACCTCCTCCGTGTATTTTTTTTTTCTTCTTCAAATAATTAAAATAGGAGTCTTTAATGATATAAGTCAGGGGTATTCAATTAGATTTCAAAGAGGTCTAGTTAGAGAAAAATTCCTGAAGCAAAGGTCCGGAACATCAAAACGACGAACTTGCGTTATCATTCAGTACTATAACCTATAGTTGTATCAACACATGTTTTTAGTCAACAACGGACTGTCAAATCAAATAATATTTCAGTCAGTTTTCACATCAAACTGGAGGGATAATAAATAATAACTATTCAAATAATAAATTCAAAATTTAAGTAAACTAAAGTGCCTAATTTTTAGAAAAAATGTAATAAAAAGTGTAGCTTGAAGTGATGAAGTGTAGTCTTAACCAATTTTATAATAAACACTCAACACATCATAACAAATGAACAGCTGTAATGCCTCCTCTTCTCTTTCATTTCCTCTTACAGAGCTACCACTTTCCTACTTTCTGTTGTTCAGTGAGAAACGTGAGCTCCAGCTAGCATATTGGAGATCTATGAGATATTCTGGTTTTGAACTGCCCCTGGGAGGAATGTACATGTAAAAATCAGTACATTCTTGATTAAAAGTCATGTGAAATCTCTTTTATCTTTCGTCTCCACAATTCGGGTGTGTTTCCAAAACGTCTCTGGTGAATCTCGCGGACTCGACTCGCAAGCCTCGGGATGCACAGATTTGATTGGCTGAGCAGCGTCACATGAGACGATTGGAGCACATGCGATTGGTCTGTGAGTTTCCTGGTCCTCTAAACTAGTACAGTAAATGCTAGAAAAGCTGCGCGGGTTAAAATAGAAACGCTCCGTCACGAGGTAGTAAGTCTCAATAATAAATGGGCTGTAGGTCGGCGGTCCGGAGAGGACGGCGGCTGGGTCCGGATCCGTACCGCGGTCCGCCTATTAGTGACCTCTGATATAAGTGATTTCACTTCTGTATAGTGTTTTTGTTGCCCTGGATTATATTTCGCCTACAAGAAGTGAGGCTCCTGGCAGCAGAACACAAACTACAACAGAACCAGACCTGCTGTCAAACTGAGAGAGAGAACAGAAACTTTAAACTTGGATCTTCCTCTCTGAAAGGCTTCAGACCAGCTTCACATGTGATCACTGAAAACAAACTGATGAGCTGAGAACGTTTAATGGAGCAATAAAATAATGTAGACACACAATGTTCTTCTGTCGTGATACCAGAGACAGTTCTTCTCCCTGATTGGTCCGGATGTACCATTGCGGTTGGGGGTAATAACGTCACGCGCTGTTTATATCGCATTTTAAATAGCAAATTACGTATTGCTTATTAAAAATGTATTTTGTTATTAAGTCATAATTAGGCCCATATTTTTATTTACTATGGTTTGGGTGTTCCGTTGTTGGTGAATAGGTGTTTATATGACACCACGGGCACCTACTTACCTGGAAGTGCAGCACACCTGCGCACAGCGACAGCTTCCAGTTTGAACTGTTGGCGGTTAATCCAAAATGCAGCAATGTTTCACCGTGCAGTTTTACATTTTCTTTGTACGTTTGGAGTCTTTCAGAGAGGTGAGAAAGAGAGTTTCTCATATTTTATTTCAGCCTATGTGATTTATTTTTTAAATGCTTGAAGTGGGAAAAAATAATTGGGGTTCAAAACCAATAACTACCAGAAGATTTCTGGCTGAGGGCTTAGCTTAAGTTGTTAGTTCACCTAGGTTTGCATCTATGAGCTGGAGAACAGAGTACAGTAACATCAGATGTTATTAGATTTAATTGTAGGAAGTTATGACATCCAGTAATTCATTTTTTAAGGCATTTGTAAAGGGTTGTCATTGTTTCAGGAGTGTCTCAAAGCGGCTTTATCTAGGACTTTTTATAAATAATTACATTTTTTAATTGAAATATAATTAAAAAATGTTTTATTTGTTTTGGGTTTTTTTTTATTATTTCAGGAGAGGTTCAACCAGAGCAGTTATAAAACTAGCGGGGACAGGTCTGGAAGTCAGGGAGGTAATTGCAATAGTCAAGATGAATGATCCAAAAGTCATCATCCTTCAGTAGTCTGGAAGGGACCAAATCCTAGGGAGTTGATCACTTTATGTGGTTATCCATATCATTGTGGACAGTTTGAGATATCTATGGGTCAAAGGCTCTGGGACAGATCAGTTTTAGGGCCAGCATCTGTCAAGGATCTAATGTTTTCAATTTTATCAGTAAAAAATATTTTTAACTGCTGGCACAGGTCAGATGATGCAAGCAAGTAAGTGTTAGTACCAACAATCTGATCTATTTTTTTAAACAATACTTTGTGAGTAGGGGCATTCTGAGTGATCAAGGTAGTAAAATAAATTGCTTGTGCATTATTAACTGCAGCATTGTAATTCTTCATTAAGGTCTTCATGTGCTCATAGTAAACAAGAAGTTTGCAGGCCTTCTGCTTACAAGTGAGTTCTTCTGTTAGTGGCACAGGTTTGGTAACATTTTACTGCATCAATTGAAGAAGTCACACTTTAAAATCGCCTTAGTGGGAAAAATTACAGCAAACGTTTACCTTTGACCAAACCAATTGCTAAAATATCCAATTGATCCAGGAAAGTATGATGTAAGCAATTCAAATATGCAATTGATATGAACAAAAATATAAATATTGCAGTTTTCTTAATAGTAAATAAATGTCATGGTGTCACAAAGGTCTGGAAACATTTACTTCAGTTGGACAAAATTAGGACAAATTGGTATACCAGAAGCTTCATATTAGCAGTATTAACTAGCTCTGTAAATATGTCATAGTAACCAGCATGGGTGTCCAATAAGAGTTCTAAAAAATGATCTATTGTAAGCAGGCACCAAAAAAAAACATCTTTGCATTTTTGGTAGGTGTGTTTAGAGGTTTTACCATCCAGTCTATGGGTTTAAAGATTAACTGGATGCTCACGTTATGCCCACACACCAGTTAATTGTGAAGATACTTTGGTGGTTTGGTTAATTGCTACATACACATTTATATCATATTTTGCAAAGAGAAAACATTTTAACTAATCTTCATCACTGATTTGGAATTCCATATTCTAGCCTTTAGTGTGATGTCTTCTCCTGCAGGTCTAACAGCTCTGGTAGAAACACAGGAGACTGTAATGGCAGCAGAAGGAGGAGAGGCTCGTCTCAGCTGTCTGCTGACGCAACCTAAAGATGTTCTTCAGGTCACATGGCAGAAACTGTTACCTGAGGGGGAGAAGACTGTTGGCACCTACAACAAACACTTTGGTCAGAAAGTGAGTTCTGACTTTAGAGATAAAGTGAAGTTTGAAGCGGCTGGACTGCAGAACAGCTCCATAGTTATCAGGAAGGTGACGGAGCAGGATGAAGGATGCTATCACTGTTTGTTTAACTCCTACCCTGAAGGTGCTCTCACTGGAACAACCTGCCTCAATCTCTACGGTAAGAACCTTTATGTAATATACAAACAAAATTAAATTACTTTGCCTCCTCTGTAATGTGAAGAAATCCTGATAGTTTTAACCTGTTTCACATCCAACTTCACACAAAACATGTTTATTTGCCCACTTTTGCCATGAATTTTTATTTTTGACATATTATACACAAGTCTATATGTATATGTGTGTAAATGTATAAAAGGAACAATTCACACATAAACAGGTTGTGCAGCAAAGTAGTAAATGTATGTACATAATGAGAACAGGTTGTAAACAGGTATGCACATAAATATGTATACTGTGGTGATAAACACTTAGTAAAAGGCAGTAAAATATGAGTCTGGTGGAGAACCTGTCGAAGAGTATCCTGGAGTCCATGTAGAGCCTCCTCAGCCTGCAGAGGTAGAGAGCTGGTTTCTCACTGTCTTTGTGATGGTGTTGGAGTGGTCAGGTCCTCACTGATGTGAACCGCAAAGAACTTGAAGCTGCTGACTCGCTCCACCGTAGTCCCATTGATGGTGATGGGGTTGTGTCTGTCTCTGTCACTTCCTGTAGTCTACAATCAGCTCCAGCGCCGGTGATGAGAGTCAGGCTGGAGGATGTGGTGGTTCCTATCAACACATCCTGGAGTCTGACTGTCAGGAAGTTCAGGATCCAGTCACACAGGGCGGTGTTGAGTCCCAGGTCTCTGAGCTTGCTGATGTGCTTGGAGGGCACAATAGTATTGAATGCAATGATCAATAAACAGCATTCTCACAAATGTTTCTCTGGTCCAGGTGGAAGCAGGTCGTGTGGAGGGGTAGATGGGGTTCATCTATTGATCTATTTGGCTTGTATACTAAATGTAGTGGGTCCAGTGAGTCAGGAGTAGAAGAGGTGATGAAGGTTTTGACTAACTGCTCAAAGCACTTCATGATGGTGGAGGTGAGGTGTTCAGGAAGAAGGCTTTTGGGGACCACGGTGTTCTTTTTGTGGGGTCTAGTACATGTGATATTTTAAAATGTTTCTTTCGCTGCAGAGCTGCATGAACCCGTCCTACATGTTGGAGAATCAAACTCTGCTGAAGAGGCACTTGTGTCCTGCTTGGCCACAGGTCGACCTGCTCCCACAGTAACATTAAGTGTCCTGCCACACAACGGCCACTTTGCTAACCACAGCTCTGTGGGAGTCACCAACACCAACGGTACAGTCACTGTCACCACTACAGCTGTGCTGTCTCGTCTCCATGACAACATCACACAGGTTGGATGTGCAGTGCGAGTGCTCTCTGCTCCTCAGATAGAGGTGTTGGTGATGATTCCTGAGGTCAAACAGTCGTCTGCTGCTGGTGAGAAACACTTCCAAAGCCACACACTTACAGATTGATCAATACTGATATATGTCTAAATATGATTCTGATGTTTTGCTTTCTGTTTCCAGGTTCTGATGAGGAACCTGTATCTGATGACCATGGACGCAGTAAGTTAATGTTCAGATATTTTCATTGGATCTATTGCTGTTGAGTTTATCATACTTTTTTTTTTTTTCTTTTTCTCAAAGGTAGGACTTCATTATGCATCATTGCATCATTCATGTTATGGGTCTGTTGTGCTGCTGCAGTCATCACCGTCCTGATTAAACAAAAAAAATCAATGCAGGTACTTCTTTCAATCAATATCTGTATTTTAAAATTACCCTATATGGACAAAAGTACTGGGATGCCTACACATTACATTTATGACATCTCATCCTAACTCCATATGCATTAATAAGGAGTTGGTCCCCTTTGCAGCTATAACAGCTTCCTCTCTTCTGGGAAGGCTTTCTACAGGATTTTGGAGTGTGTCTGTGGGAATTGTTTCCCATTCATCCAGAAGAGCATTTGTGAAGTCAGACACTGATGTTGGATGAGAGGGCCTGGGTTCCAGTCTTCATTCTAGTTCCCAAAGGTGTTGGATAGGGTTGAGGTCAGGGGTCTGTGCGGGCCCAGTCAAGTTCTTTCACACCATACTGGGAAAACAATTTCTATATGGAGCTGGCTTTGTGCACGGGGGCATTGTCACAATGAAAGAGAAAAATGCCAAACACAAACTGTTGGAAGAACTAAGCATTAAGATTTGTCTTAACAAAGACCACACTGTGAAAAAGCACCCGCACCCAAAAGTATTGAGACAAGGATGTCCCAGTACTTTTGTCTCAGTCTATGAGATCTGATAAATGTTTGTTCAGCTTAACTGTTCTTCAATCCTTCAGTCTGACACACAGGGAGTCTGAGATGAATGAGATGTATCAAACTACAAACAGAGATACTCATGAGTAAGACTCTATTTATACTATCATTTTCCACTTTCACACTCTGTTATCTGTCTTCACTCTATTTTGTATATTGTCACATTTTATACCTTGTGACGTGCCTCTGTACCTACCTACTGATTCCTGCGCACGTAAAGGAAATTCTCATAATTCAGTATACTTTATCGACATGAATGTGGAAGTTAACCAGTGTTGCCAAAGCGGTTTGCATCAAAATCACCAAGTTTACTTTTTAATATAACAAAAATTTATTCAGTCGTGACCATTCAGTTTAGCAATTCTCCTCTTTGCTTGGATCACTGAATGCTCATCGTTGGTGTGTTTAGCCATATAGTCTGTTCAGAATATTTTATTTACGCAATATTCATTTAGTATGGAAACATTGTGAATTAAAATGCATTGTTTTTCATTTAAGGGCCGAACAATTTTCTGTCACATAGGAGAACCATCAGATCAGACCACGGCCATCACCTGTAAAGAGTGAAGAAAGTGAACTCAAATCCGTAACCTTCAACACCAAGGAGACTGGAAATGTGGTTGGATGTACTTAGTTTTATGTGTAACAGTGAGTAGGAGATGCACAACTACCATTAAGTTTGTATTACTGTTAACTAGGGCTGCACCATTAATCTAATGGCATTTACAATCGTGACGTCACACTGTGCGATTACTTAACCATAGAAGGGTGCTATTTAATTAAACAAAAGTGTGCAGTATGTAAGACACTCTGTGTGCACTGCAGTCTGCTCATTATCCATGATCATTTCACTCGCATATAAAACCATAACAGATATGTGCATGTATAAAGACTACAACCGACCGTTCCTCTTTCCTCTCTATTCAGCGGTGCGCTGATGTAACAACTCAACCGAAAAGTGAAACTTCCACCTTGTATCGTTTCCTAGCTATCTTTCTTCATAATGTTCAGTTCACCAAAAACAGAAACATATTTAGTCGAATAAAAGGCAGTTTTCCAGTCATACAGTCAGGTTCATACATATTTGGACAATGACAGATGTTTTATTTAGACTTTTTTTCCAAAAACATATTCAAGTTACAGTTAAATAGTTGCCTCTTCTTTTTCAAAGTGCCAAAAGTAATTGGACAATTAACTCAAACTGTTTTATGAACAGTTGTGGCTTATTCCTTCGTTATTTTTTCATCAATTAAGCAGGTAAAAGGAGTGAAGTTTATTTCAGGTGTGGCATTCGCATATGGAAGCTCTTGCTGTGAACCTGCGGTCAAAGGAGCTGAAAGGAGTGAAACAAGCCGTCTTTAGGCTGCACAAAAAAGAAAAAATCCATCAGCAAGATAGCAGTAATTAAGTAAGTAGGTATTAGCAAAATCAACGTTTTTGTACATTCTGAGAAAAAAAGAATGCACTAGTGAGCTCAGCAACACAAAAACGGCTGGGTGTCCACAGAGGACAACAGTGGTGGATGATAGGATTCTTTCCATGGTCAAAAACAAATATTCTGCAACTCTATTCTCAACCCAATCGAGCGTGCATTTCATTTGTTAAAGACAAAACATAAGGCAGAAATACCCATGAACATATAACAACTGAAGACAGCTGCAGAAAAGACCTGTAAAAGCATGTTCCAGACTTCAAGCCTGTAAAAGGATTCTCAACAATGTATTTAAAATGAACATTTCATTTATGATTATGTTAATTTGTCTAATGTGTCACTGTCCAAATATTTCAGGACCTAACAATATTTTGTCACTGAAGATTTCTTAAAGTGCACTGATACATCCCTAATTACTTTTAACATTACATTAACAATATACAAACAGTATACTATTAAATGAACATTATACTTTAAAACAACCCAAAAGACTGAAGAAGTGCCTGTCGCACCTGAACAAAACTGCATCAAAGCTTTGGAGACTAAATGTTGAACATTTGTAAGAGAAGTTAAAGATTACACTGTGGACATTGGACCTCCATTACCTCTTTGTTCAACAAGTGAGAGAACAATTACTACAATTTATTGTTTTCGTTATGTATATTAGTAATATTTTTTATACAATTTTAAATTGTGATCACACTATTATGCTGCACATACCAGTGAGTGCTCTGTTAGCTTTCTTGTGACTTGATATACACAGTATAAGGTTTTTTTTGTGTGTGTGTTTTTGTAATTTGTCATCTAATGATCTAAATTATGCTAAACATGTGAATATAGAACAACTGAACATAAATAATCTTAAACAGTATTAACAGTAGTAACATCATGAAAATGTGTGTGGTATATCAACAGAAAGGTGTTGAGATCTTTGTGATCGTTAAAAGATTAGACTGCGTCTGCAATTAAGGACATTTAAAAAAAAAAAACTCAATCAATAGAACAAAATTGCATTGACATGTTTAAGTTGTAAAATAGGATAATGTTATCTTAGTTATATTTTAAATACTGCAAATATCTGTAAACCCCAATAATCTCTCAAACTACACATGCAGTATAGCTTAGTTTCATCATGTAAACTTAAATGAGACTGAAATGTTTTTGTATGGTGCTGGTTTTGTGTAAATATGTATAATTTCATATGGTTGGGGTCCCACATAAGTGGTTTTGTCCACCTAGTTTCCTACAGCTGGGAGCTGGCAGCTAGTTGTTTTCAGTGTCGGTTGGTTGGTGTCTGTGTGAAAGCCAATAAATGCCACGCTTGTGCTTTGCATTTTACCTCTGTCTCATGTCTCTTTCAACTGTCAGATATAAATATTACATTTTAGTCATAAAGCTGAAAACAGATTTATTTCACCAGAATTGTATGCTATTTATTCATGTGAAAAAGTCTCATTCATTGTACTGAGAGACAGAAAATGTATTTGTAATTCCACGTTTCTCCCTTATCGGTCCATGAGGCAGTTTTCCATTCCGCTCCCCCGCCTGTTAAATAAGCAAATCACCAAATGCCTGCAGGACACCTGCCGTAGAGTTGGTAGAGACACGATGCAATAAAGATGGCTCACCGTGCAGTTATCCATTTCCTTTGTGCGTTAGGAGTCTTTCAGAGAGGTGAGAAACAGTTTCCCAAGTTTATATATAAAGTTTATTTTCTGAAAGCAAAGCTGTGTGATGTGTGTGCATGTTCTTAGTTACGCAACTACAATAAAGTTTTCTGTAAATACTTTTAAATATCCTTTTGTCTTGGTTATTCGTTAAATTCATGTTTATCATATTTCACAAAGAAAAGATGTTTTAACAAATCCAACTTTATCACCATGTTGGACTAACGTATTCTGGTCTTTTACACCCCAACCAAAATGTCATGTCTTCTCCTGCAGGTCTAACAGCTCTGCTAGAAACACAGCAGACTGTGATGGCAGCAGTGGGAGGAGAGGCTCATCTCGGCTGTCTGCTGACGCAAACTAAAGATGTTCTTCAGGTCACATGGCAGAAACTGTTACCTGAGGGGGAGAAGAATCTTGCCACATACAATAAATATTTTGGTCAAAGAGTGAACGCAGCCTTTCAAGGAATCATGGAGTTTGAAGCGGCTGGACTGCAGAACAGCTCCATAGCTATCAGGAAGGTGACGGAGCAGGATGAAGGATGCTACCGCTGTTTGTTTAACACCTACCCTGATGGTGCTCTCACAGGTACAACCTGCCTCAAACTCTATGGTAAGAAGCTTTATTCAATTGAATTTTATTATACAGCACCAATTCAAACAGGGTTAGCTCATTACACTTTTAATGTAGGGCAGGAGGAAAGAGAACCCACAGTAGCGCAATGCAAGTTCCACACAGAGATGTCAATTATTAGTAATAATAGTGGTAACAATACAAATATAAATTTCCAGAGTCACCTGCTCCAGATGCAGAAACACCTGCAGATAGAGAAGGAGAGGGGAGAGAAATGGATGAAGAAGCACAAGACTATCAGAAAGAGGGAAGAAGTCGAGTCAGTAAGATACATTAATGGGATAAGAATGCATACAGAGGGAGAGGAGGAGCTCAGTGCATCATGGGAAGGCTCCCAGCAGTCTAGGCTTATAGCAGTGTAATCCTCTACTGGGTGAGTACACCTCACTGTTGGTTCGGAAGGAGCTAAGATTGAAGTGCACCAACTATAGACACATCACAAGTCAATTCAGTTAACTAACTTTTAATAGCATGAATAGCAATGCAACTGACATCACATTTACAATCATGTGAAAAATCATAACTGGACCCACACCAAAGAATAATTGTCCTTAAGTGGTATCCAAGTCGGTGTCTGAAGACTATAGAGGAATTTTGGTCTAAGTCAACTTCATTTGAGTTCAGTGGCAATGCAGATCCAGGTTCCTAGAAACCAAGTTGGGAGGCTCGTCATCTACTGCTTGAAGATTGTTGAATTTTCTTTACTGGATTTTCACTCAATAAAAGACCTGACTGAGACATGTGAAGGGCAACTAATTAAGATTAAACCAACATTTCTGGTGATTTTGTGGCTTCTGCAGGGAAACCAAAAAGCTTAAAAGCAGACTAAAGACTCAGGAGGCTGTGAAGTATAAAAGATGTTTTTGTGAGCAGGGAATGGAGATGGCACAAGCTGGGTGTAATGGGACGGTGTGGTGGAGAGTGGCAAGCAGTGGCTGGAGCGAATCAAGATGGCAGGTTCTGGGTTGTGGTTTGTTGGTGTTGAAACAGCAACGATGGGTTTCAACAAGCAGGCAGGTGAGCGTGGTCTTGGAGCACAATGGAGCAGGTGTTATTCACTGGAAACATCCAAAAGAAGAACCGCAAACACAAACAAGAGAGGCATGACCGATGGTAGCTGACTGAAGCATGTGGCAATGAGTGATTAAAGAACCAGAGTATATATACTACAGCTGATGATCTGCTGATGAGGAACAGGTGTGAGTCAGCAGGTAGCCAGGAGACAGAAACATAAGCACGTCCACATAGGCACACACAAAACTGAGAGAGAATGGAAAAAGGGAAGGGGAAAACACAAAGAAACTGGACTCATGGACTCACGAGAGCCAGCTCCAACTATAAGCTTTATTAAAGAGGAAAGTCTTAACCCTTCTCTTAAATGTGGAGATGACGTCTGCCTCATGAACTCAAACTGGGACCTGGTTCCACAGCTGAATCTAGGAAGGATTTTAAATTAAATTTGGATATCTGGACTTTACAGGGAGAAATGTGCATTCTACCCAACAATATATTAGGTTAATCTTCAACATCTACAGCAGTAAAATGCAACATGCATATGAATGCAGCAGAATATTAATCCAGTAACATCAGATATAATGAAAGCTGCAAGCAGCGTTGGGTGGGCACGTGTAGCGTGTCGGGTTGTGAGGCGGCCGCTTTGCATATTCTGGAGCTCTGACGGTGCGTCTGTGAATTTTCTACATATTTCAGACGCTGCATGAAGGCGTTATACGTCACTTCCTGTGTCCCCTTTGTGGCGCTACATAGCACTTGGCGCTATGACTAGAATTGAATATTGGCATATAGATGTGTTCGGGGCGGGACAAATATCAAGCATGTGAAGTTTTGTGCAGATGTGAGCATGTACACTGAAGTTACAACAACTTCCTGTGTCATGGCGAAGAGTTGATCTTTGACGCCACGCCACGGACACGCCCATTGACGAAAACTCACAGATAGCACAACCTTTCATCGTCGATGCCTTTAGAAGGCACAGCAGAAATTTGACGTCGGTCCGACTAAATCCCTAGGAGGAGTTCGTTAAAGTATGGAGTGTGTTAATCATCCAAAAGTTGCCGTAAAATTCAAAATGGCTGTTGGGTTTAGGGCATCGCTCCAAGAGGCTTTTTGGTACGTCTGCACATGATACATGTGCCACAGAAATTACATACATGTAGGTCAAACGTGCTGCGGGGGCTGCTTTGTTAAAGGTCACTTCCTGTTGCCAGCAGGTGGGGCTATGACTGTGGGTGAATGTCGGCATGTACATGTGTTCAGGGCGGGACTCTCATCCTACGTGTACAGTTTGGTGTAGATGTGAGCATGTACCCTGAATTTATAATAACTTCCTGTTTCATGGCGAATCATCGACGCCACGGACACGCCCATTGCCTTTAGAAGGCACAGCAGAAATTTTAAATCGATCGGACTGCCTGGGAGGAATTCGTATGGAGTGTGTAAATAATCCAAAAATGACCGTAAAATTCAAAATGGCTGACTTCCTGTTGAGTTTAGGCTATGGGTTCTTGAGGCTTTTTTGTGCGTCTTGATATGATACATGTCCCTAGAAAATTTCGTGGATGTAGGTTGAACGTGGACGAGGGGCAAATATTTTCCAATTTTGTAGGTGGCACTAGCGAGCCATTTTGCCACAGCCATGCGCGAAACACGAAATATGAAATTTTTCACCACTTCTGACATGTGTGCAAAGTTTGGTGACTTTTCGAGCATGTTTAGGCCCCCAAAATGAGCTTACTTTGCAGGAAAATAAAAATCCTTACAGTTTCGCACGGTTCATGCTAATAAATAATAGGTGTGGTCCTCCATTTGTCCAAATTTCACGTCTCTTCTTACTTCTAACAAACCAGACAAGTACTACTACTTCTTGACCTTCTCTTCGTACATATTCAACATAGTGATGAAGCATTCTCTGAGTTTGTCCCATACTGGACCAGCTGACGTCTTTGTAACGACTTCATGTGTTTTCTCTGCAGAGCTGCATGAACCCGTCCTACATGTTGGAGAATCAAACTCTGCTAAAGAGGCACTTGTGTCCTGCTCGGCCACAGGTCGACCTGCTCCCACAGTAACATTAAGTGTCCTGCCACACAATGGCCACTTTGCTAACCACAGCTCTGTGGGAGTCACCAACACCAACGGTACAGTCACTGTCACCACTACAGCTGTGCTGTCTCATCTCCATGACAACAGCACACAGGTTGGATGTGCAGTGCGAGTGCTCTCTGCTCCTCAGATAGAGGTGTTGGTGATGATTCCTGAGGTCAAACAGTCGTCTGCTGCTGGTGAAAAACACTTTCAAAGCTACACACTTAAAGATTGATACTTAATACCTTTATACTTTATCGCTCATGCCTTTTAGTTTTTTTATCTTCCAGGTTCTGATGAGAAACCTCGATCTGGTAACATTGGTTTCAGTAAGTTAATCTTTAGTCTCATGTCATAACCCTTGGATCTGTAGTTTTTTGAGTGGTTCATGTCACTCATCTTCCCTTTTCTCACAGATTTGACTTGGATCATTGTGGTGTTGGTGGTAGTGTCCTGTGTAGTCATCGTAGTGGGAATAAAAATCACCGCCCTGCTTAAACAAAAACATCAGAACCGGTAATTTTTAACTTGGTGGTAGTGTTCTGTGTTTGTGTTGCTGTTTAAACCAAAACATCTTTCAATTCAACATGCGTCTTGTTGTAATATCAGTGTCCCACAGTTAATGAGATGATGATTGATTAAGATGTTTTCAGACAAAACCTCTACATGAATAATTTATAAATGTTTAGAATTGACCTTTCTTAAATCCTTCAGTCTGTCACAACGGGCCCTTGAGATGCCTCAAACTACAATCGGACACACTCATAAGTAAGACAGTTTGTTCATATTTCAATTACATATGTATTGCTTCTATTGCAACATGATTTCATCTGTCTTCACTCTGTTTAAGCTTTCACTTTCCTACCTACCAACATGCACTTGTACCTCCCTAACGAATTTATTGTTATTTATTCATGAAGTGAGCTGTGAAGCTCTTTGGGCCATTGTGTATTCAATGTCAGGATGTTTATCAACATAACTGTTGTTCAGAGTGATTTAGAGACTGACTAATGTTTTCTTTTTATCTGAAGAACTAAAGAAGAGCAAGATAATGAGCAGATACAACTGACACCTGAGAAAAATCTAACCGATGTTTTGGTGATAGAAAGATATTGGAGGCAGTAATGTCCTAGACTGGTAGATAGAACCACTTTGTGGGCTTTGTGGGAGAACATAGAAATGTGGCTTAAATTTGCGTGTATCAATCCTAAACACAGTAGCACACAGAAGAAGAGCACAAGTAATCCTCAGTACTCCATGAAGTGATCAGTAAAGTTGACATGTGAAGCAATTGGGTAATTTTTTATTCTAAAATGAGCACAACTACTGTAGGCTATATACACTAACCTAAAGGATTATTAGGAACACCATACTAATACTGTGTTTGACCCCCTTTCACCTTCAGAACTGCCTTAATTTTACGTGGCATTGATTCAACAAGGTGCTGAAAGCATCCTTTAGAAACTTTGGCCCATATTGATAGGATAGCATCTTGCAGTTGATGGAGATTTGTGGGATGCACATCCAGGGCATGAAGCTCCCGTTCCACCACATCCCAAAGATGCTCTATTGGGTTGAGATCTGGTGACTGTGGGGGCCATTTTAGTACAGTGAACTCACTGTCATGTTCAAGAAACCAATTTGAAATGATTTGAGCTTTGTGACATGGTGCATTATCCTGCTGGAAGTAGCCATCAGAGGATGGGTACATGGTTGCCGTAAAGGGATGGACATGGTCAGAAACAAAGCTCAGGTAGGCCGTGGCATTTAAACGATGCCCGATTGGTACTGAGGGGCCTAAAGTGTGCCAAGAAAACATCCCCCACATCATTACACCACTACCACCAGCCTGCACAGTGGTAACAAGGCATGATGGATCCATGTTCTCATTCTGTTTACGCCAAATTCTGACTCTACCATCTCAATGTCTCAACAGAAATCAACACTCATCAGACCAGGCAACCTTTTTCCAGTCTTCAACTGTCCAATTTTGGTGAGCTCTTGCAAATTGTAGCCTCTTTTTCCTATTTGTAGTGGAGATGAGTGGTACCCGGTGGGGTCTTCTGCTGTTGTAGCCCATCCGCCTCAAGGTTGTGCGTGTTGTGGCTTCACAAATGCTTTGCTGCATACCTCGGTTGTAACAGGTGGTTATTTCAGTCAAAGTTGCTCTTCTCAACTTGAATCAGTCGGCCCATTCTCCTCTGACCTCTAGTATCAACAAGGCATTTTCGCCCACAGGACTGCCGCATACTGGATGTTTTTCCCTTTTCACACCATTCTTTGTAAACCCTAGAAATGGTTGTGCGTGAAAATCCCAGTAACTGAGCAGATTGTGAAATACTCAGACCGGCCCGTCTGGCACCAACAACCATGCCACGCTCAAAATAGCTTAAATCACCTTTCTTTCCCATTCTGACATTCAGTTTGGAGTTCAGGAGATTGTCTTGACCAGGACCACACCCCTAAATGCATTGAAGCAACTGCCATGTGATTGGTTAATTAGATAATTGCATTAATGAGAAATTGAACAGGTGTTCCTAATAATCCTTTAGGTGAGTGTATATAAAAGGCATATAATACATTTCATTATAGACATAATAGCCTATATATTTTCTTGCATATTAATTTGTGTTGGTAATTTTGCCTTTAATCTTCAATGTTTGTTACTAATGTTATTTATTGCTCATTGGACATCTCACCTGACAGATTTACTGTATTTGTGGTGTAGTGTCTATGTGAGTTAGTAGTATTGTTTTTATCCCTGGATAACTAACCTGTGTGTTATGTTCCTGAACGTTCATCACAATTTAATGCTCTGCTTTTTCTTATTAAAACAATCATCCGCACGCTCGTGTGAAAGTGGTGAATCTCAAAGTTGAATGTCTACTGTTTTCTCATACAACCTGAGCTCCACCATGGGGACAGAAAAGGTATAACACACAAGCGTTTAAAACTCTGCTTACACCGACAATGAGCGCCAAATATCTATCACCATCAGGGACGTGCACAGGGGGGTTGCTCTGGCTGCCCGGGCAACTGCCCGTTTGCCTTTCCTGACTCAAGTTGCCCTTCCGACTCGCCCTTCCGAGAAAAAAAAATAAAATAAAAAAATAATCGCGATCGCAAAGCCTCATTCACTTCCATTCGGGCACCGAAAGTGAAAGTCAGTAGGGGAAGGGCAAACTCTGTTTAAGTGGCTGCACTGCTGCAGCGCTGCCTGCACGTCAGTCGATTCTGTTCCCTACCGGAATTCCTGTTTCCTTCCTTTATGCAATCATACTACAACAAATCATGCGTAGTTTTGCCCAGTTACCATACGTGATACGTACCAACAGAAGTGAATACGAGCTAGAAGCGCAACTGAATGTACGGGAAGCCAAAAGGTTAAAAAAGGATTGTATTTTTTTCCGAAATCTAAGCGTTTTTTTATTTAATATTTTATTAGAAGCGAGTTTTCCCCATCTGTCAATTCAATCTAGATTATTTATTTTCAAATAAATAAAAAAAAGGAAAAAAAATAAAAATAATAATGATTAAAAAAACAATAAACAATAATATAAGGAACTCTTTTTCTCATATGTATTTTGGTGACATTTATATTGTTAATACATTTTGGATACTGTGTTTAGTGCCTTTTTTCAGGTCAGAGCAACTGCCCTTCAAAATTCCTGTGCACGTCCCTGATCACCATGTAATGGTATAAATGAATTCTTTGCTGCCATGCTTACATCTAAATTGTCTCTTGAATTAAAACATGTAACCATCAAGTTTACACTGAAAACATGTAGTTAGGCTTTGTTACGCCTTTTATTAAGTATATAACAATTAAGAAACCATTAACCCTCTAGTATTTAGTCTTGTTTTGCTTGTCTTTATCCAAATGTTTAGAACTAAGTATTTTTCAAATGTTAATATTGTGGAGAGAGAGATTAAATGAAAATACGTGCAACATATATATTTTCTTTATCCCACTAAAAAGTTAACACTTTTTAGGTAACTCCCCCAGAGAAACCCAAATTGACGTCACCACGTCCTAAAGAAGGAAAGTAGATAAAAGGCCTTGTTGTCTTTTGTCTCACTCTCTTCTTAAAAAAAAAACCTCTCTTGAAACTAAACACTCATGTATCCTCCCGTAACTACGCTTTTGTGAATTTCCTTTACTTTTGAAATTCCAATCTTTTCTTTTCGTTTCATACCTTAAAACTTCCTTCAGACGAGCTGAGAAAGCTACTGTCCTTGAATCCCCAATTTTCTTAGTGGGAGATTTGTTTGATTTTTGTTTGGAGCCGCCTGGGATGAAACTTTCCCAAGACTTGTTTAAACAACATTAAATAGCCTAAATTCCTGGGGCCTCGTGAACCTACGGCAAATGTACGTCTTATTTGATTTTGTTGCTTTAACATCATCCATTCGTTCTAAGCAACTTTGGACCCAGGAGCCCATTCACTTCTCGCCTCGAGTTGAACAAAGTCACGTTTCCAACGATAGAATCTGGAGTGTTCCGCTGAGCTATAGCGACACCAAACGAGCTCACAGTGCAAAGCCAGGGCTGGCCGCCCGTTGCTGCAAGTGTTTTCCCGCAAAGGACTCCGGAACGAACCCACCGGTTTGAACTCAACTCGAGACGCCACTGGGGTGTCTGGCCAGGACAACATCCACAAGCCAACCAGCAGTGAGCCTTTGCTACGAGGAATTGCGACAAAAGTAAGGCAAAACAAACTACACTCTGTGACTCGTTGGTGTTCTCTAGTTGGGCTCTCATCTATAGTCAAGAAACCCCTAGGTTATTCATACTAAATTTGCGACGTAATTTCCGACCATTCGTTCCCTCATTCTCTTAGAATCCTCTCCCTCTACAATATAAACTGAAACTCCATCAAGCCTATAGTGTACTGATCTTGGCTTATTACATATTCTGTTCATTACCTTCTGGTTTGTTTCATGTTGACTGTTACTCCTGTAATATTTCACAGTTACTCCCACTGTTGTACTTTAGTTAGTCAATAAATTTCACCTTGATCACAGTGATTTGTGTGTGTATATTGTTAAGAATCCCGGGTCCCTGTACAGAGGAATTACCCTCAGATTTGAGATTGACTGATTGACTAAAGTTTGCCATTTCAGAATAACTGAACCATTAATAACTAATGAATTACCAGAAATTTGTGTAATTATCAAGCTATACTCAAGGACCTAAAGCCTCGGACAGACAAGCAAATCTTTAGGTGGTGCCCTGGTTTCGAGGTATGAATTAATATTCCCTAAAATATATATATAACTTTATTAAAAATGATAGGTAGCGTTAGACCTGCTACACCTTCATACTGTTACCCAGGGACTAGAAGAACGACGACACGGAGAAAACAAGCATCAATGATGCTCATGAGTAAGACACTTTCGTACTGTTATTATTATGATTGAAATGTTCTGCCCTCTTATGCGTTCAATATATTTTCCTACCTACCATCTGTATTGAACTGTTCAGAGTAATTTAGTATAAAAGGATGTATGTTTTAATGTAATAATGTTACCTCAAGAGTCCAGACACCTTTAGATGAGCAGAACAGTCAGATCAGACAACAGACTTCTCATGAGAAAAATTAAACAGACAGACCAAAGCCGTCACCTTCAAGAAGAGTACGCAGTAGGCGACAGAGGCAAGGAAAAACTTCCTTTTAAGAGGCAGAAACTTCTAGCAGAACCATGGCTCAGGGTATGCAGCCATCTGCCTCGACCGGTCATTAATCAATGATGAACACGTACTTTACACGCATTTGATGAATCAGTTGCTCCACATGACCGCTGGATGTTTCTAGTTGTAGAGTTCATACTATGAAAAATATGAAAGACTATTCAGAGTACATCTGCGATGGACTGGCGACCTGTCCAGGGTGTACCCCGCCTTTCGTCCAATGTCAGCTGGGATTGGCTCCAGCCCCACCCGCGACCCTGTACGCAGGATAAGCGGTTGACAAAGGATGGATGGATGGATTCAGTACATTGTACAGAGACAGCAGTCAGGTTCATGTCGATCCCAGAAGTTAGGACTCACAGGGTTAAACAAATCCCTGTATTTACGGGGGAAACATATTTAAAAAGAAGAACCAACTGAACATGTCACTGTGAAGGATATTTCTTGGGGGCTTAACTCAGGTAACAAGTGTGGTATAGCTAATTTACAGGTCAGACTCTGGGTCATTAGCTGATCCCAAAAGTGTGTGTTCACAGACAAACCAACTCTAGTTCTCGGCCTTGGAGTTCAAAATTTAAACATCAGACAGGCTAGCTGTTCAGGTGAAGGCCAGTTGAAGATGACCTCAGAGTGAAAACCTACAGACAGTATGAGGAAAGACAGAAACATAAAAGGGACCAAAAGATGCTGTCCTTTAGATTTTGTTGAGTTTGTTGTCCTGTTTGTTTATGCTTGTTTTGTGTATGTACACTGAGAGAAATGTAAAACCTCAGTCAGATTCCTCGTATGTGTGCACATACCTGCAGATTAAAGGTGATTCTGATTCGGCATTGCAGGTGTATGCTGGCACTGTATCTCATCTGCAGAGTCTCTTTAAAAAGTCTCATTACACCTGATCCTGACTCACTTTATTTCCATAACAGTCACCGCCAAGAATATAAAACAGAGAAAAGTTAAAGGAGGAACTAAAGATTTGGAACTTTGAGGAAAGAAAACATATAAGCCTTGTTTTATTTTTAAAAGGGAGGGTTTTTTTCCTCAGTCCTAATGGATAGGGAGCTTTGTGCACACTCCAGCACAGTAGGTGGCACCAGCTATTTAACAACAAGAATGTACCTGGAAGGTACCTTTGGACACCTGCGCACAGTCACAGATTTCACTTTGAAAGATTTGGCGGCATATCCAGTCTGCAGCAAAGATGTCTCACCAGGCAGTTATCCTACATTTCCTTTGTGTGTTTGGAGTTTTTCAGAGAGGTGAGAAAGAAGACAGCGTCCCAAGTTTTATATCGTCTTTGTTATATGTCTATTTCCATTCCTTTTCTATAACTGAAAGTAGGCTACAGTTGTGTGACTCCTGTGTGTTGTAGTTGCGCAATGACGTTACGAGTTGGCGGTTAAAATACTTTCACATTGTTTAATGGTCAAATTAATATATTTTGCAAAGAAACAAATGCTTTAACAAATCAGGCTTTTTCATTGAGTTGGACTTGCGTATTCTAGCCTTTTATCACCAACAACAGGCGCGCGGGATTTTACATGCCCTGGATATATGCAAGTGCGCACTGATGTTAGAATAAACAGCTGAGCGATTTAGTAAGCTACATGTTTTATAGTTAAATCTGAAACGTACACCAACTTCAAAATGGTAGGCTATTACAGCAGAACGTTACGATCAATATCAGCAGCACAGACACAGTTTGAACTTCAAATCAAATCTAGAGGAAGTGTAAAAATACAACATAGGCTTCGTTTACATGAAAATTAATAACCAGGACACCAGCAGGTACGTTTTCATGTAACTGAATGATTGTTTCTAAACTATAGGCCTGTAGAATTAGCCTACCATAGAAACCGATCCCGCACAAACCGCAGAACCCGAGAGTAAACCAAATAGGCTTCACATCAGCTGTTTCTCCAGAGATGAGCCTTACAGGTTCGTTGATAGACCTACCCCGTGGCGTAGAGGTTAAACTTAACACACACACAGTAGCCTATGTTGGTTAAAACCAACACAGAGAGGTCTGTAGTGTGCTGGTATCTCCACCAGGTGGCAGCCTGACATAAGCTGTGAATGTGTAGCGAAATCTGTCAGACCAGTGCCCCCTCAAGGGAAACAGGGGCTGTGTCCCAGCGCAAGGACTTCATTTGCTAACATAAGTAAATAAAAAGACAACAAAATGTTATCTTGGTTTCTGATTCTGTCAGTAATAAGACAAGATCAATTAGCCAGATGGATATAGGCTATGCTGCATTGATTATTTGATCATGTCAACAAGAGTTGGGCTAGCTGTCTATTGCGTATTGCCACACCGCAGAATTTGACCAGAACAAATGTCTTATGATAGTGCTAGTCACACAATTATTTTACCTTTTTGGATTTATTTTTTCAGTGCAAGGCATTACACTAAATAAATCGTTTTGCATTATTAGGCTATATAAAACAGAATTAATAGCTACTTGTTCTAGAGCACTCATATACGTTCAGTTGAAGCCCCATCTCTGAAACTGTCCTCTCCTGCAGGTCTAACAGCTCTGATAGAAACACAGCAGACTGTGATGGCAGCAGTGGGAGACAGAGCCTGCTTAAACTGTCAGCTGATGCAATCCAAAGATGTTCTTCAGGTCACATGGCAGAAACTGTTACCTGAGGGGGAGAAGAATCTTGCCACCTACAACAAATATTTTGGTCAAAGAGTGAATGCTGCCTTTCAAGGAAACATGGAGTTTGAAACTGCTGGACTGCAGAACAGCTCCATAGCTATCAGGAGGGTGACGGAGCAGGATGAAGGATGCTACCGCTGTTTGTTTAACACCTACCCTGATGGTGCTCTCACAGGTACAACCTGCCTCCATCTCTATGGTAAGAACCTTTTGTGTAATATTAGAGACATGTCTGTTAATTCTTGTTCCCGCTGCTGATTTTAACCTGTTTGGTTAAACTCCAACTTTACCCAAAACATGTTTACTTGGCATAATAAGTATTTAACAAAATGCAATATTTGCTTACTGTGTCAAATGTAATTGTCATCATAGTAAGTCAAATTTTGCTTAACGTCTGGTATGAAAAGTGACACATGCTGCCCTGTTATATACTTCCCACAAGAAGCATTTACTTCATGTGATATTTTAAAATGTTTCTTTCTCTGCAGAGCTGCATGAACCCGTCCTACATGTTGGAGAATCAAACTCTGCTAAAGAGGCACTTGTGTCCTGCTCGGCCACAGGTCGACCTGCTCCCACAGTAACACTAAGTGTCCTGTCACACAACGGCCACTTTGCTAACCACAGCTCTGTGGGAGTCACCAACACCAACGGTACAGTCACTGTCACCACTACAGTTGTGCTGTCTCGTCTCCATGACAACAGCACACAGGTTGGATGTGCAGTGCGAGTGCTCTCTGCTCCTCAGATAGAGGTGTTGGTGATGATTCCTGAGGTCAAACAGTCGTCTGCTGCTGGTGAGAAACACTTCCAAAGTCACACACTTACAGATTGATCAATTTTATAGCTTTATAGCTCATGTCTTTTGGTTTTGGTTTTCAAGGTTTTGATAAGCAGACTGAATCTGACAACAGGGATTTCAGTAAGTTAACCTTTAGGTGGGCTCTAGTCAGTATTACCATTAGAACTGTAGTTGCTTTGTGAACATTGAGTGTTTCTTGTCACTAATTGGCCTCTTTTTCTCACAGATTTCACTTTGGTCGCTGTGTTGTCCGTGATAGTGTCTTGTGTTACTGTAGTAATCGTAGTGGGTATAAAAATCAACCTGCTTAAACAAAAACATCAGAACAGGTAATTTTTAACTTTCAACTCAGCATCTGTCTGGTTGTAATATCAGTGTCTCAGTTAATGTGGTGATGATAGATGGAGATCTTTTCAGATAAAACCCATAAATAAATAACTGATAAATTTTTGTTCAGAATTACTCTTTATTTTATATCTTTCAGCATAGGTGTCATTTACACTGGAGACATGTCCCCACCACTTTTTGAAATGGCTGAATTTGTCCCCACTACTTTGAAAGCATTCGCTAAAAGTTTTCTGAAACTTATCTTGCAACAAAAAATGTTAAATACCAAAAAAAAAATCTGAGAAAGGTTTACTTGCACAATAGGAAAACATGAACTGCAACTGCCTTGTCCAAAAAAGTAACTTAGGCTGAAAAAAAACAAGCTGCTGATTACAGCATTATTTATATTTGATAATATTTTAATACTCTAAATTGTCACCAGCCACGTGAATTTTGTTTCCCTTCATATGAATAAAGACATTTCCACCATAAATTAGTGCAGAAAATGTCTCTAGAATGCAGGAAATTAAGACTTTAATGCTCAAAATCTTCTGGGGAGGACTCAAAGCCTATTTCTTCAATGAATTTCTTCTAATTAGCATTGGAATATCTTCTTGTCTTGTTCTTATGAAGCCAATATTGTGCATGATCACATCTCGTGGACTAAGTGTTTCGTCACCCCCCCTAATATGAGCCCTTAAATGTCACCACCACTTTTCAACACAAAGTGACGCCCTTGTCTTTCAGCCCGTCACACAGAGACTCCGAGGAGATCAAGACACCTGCAAAAACCATCAAACCCACTCATGAGTAAGATCATTTATTCATTTTTCACTTGTACATATTTATTTGTTGCTGCTTCTGACTAATGAAATGACTGATGTCTTGTTTCTGTCTGAAGGAACAAAACTCCTTTAATGCAGCCAGAGAACGAGCACCTGAGGCAGCGGACGTCTACTGCGAAAAAACAACAAAACGACAACCCAAAAGCATGGTCTTCAACAGTGAGGTGTCAGCAAAAGCTATTTTGACTAAAGGCAACTACTTACACAGAATAACCCACAATGCTGCAGTGCCACAATGACTGACACTGAAAGTCCTGCATAAGAACCATCTTTTAATACAACACTAGGAACAGATCTGTCACAGTTCATTTTTTGTACTTACCTTATCCTTTATAACCATCTTTTTATACACTGCTCAAAAAATAAAGGGAAAACTAAAATAACCCATCCTAGATCTGAATGAATGAAATAATCTCATTAAATACTCCTTTCTTTACATAGTTGAATGTGCTGACAACAAAATCACAAAAATGATCAATAGAAATCAAATTTATCAACCCATGGAGGTCTGGATTTGGAGTCACACTCAAAATCAAAGTGGAAAACCACACTACAGGCTGATCCAACTTTGATGTAATGTCCTTAAAACAAGTGAAAATGAGGCTCAGTAGTGTGTGTGGCCTCCACGTGCCTGTATGACCTCCCTACAATGCCTGGGCATGCTCCTGATGAGGTGGCAGATGGTCTCCTGAGGGATCTCCTCCCAGACCTGGACTAAAGCATCCGCCAACTCCTGGACAGTCTGTGGTGCAACGTGGCGTTGGTGGATGGAGCGAGACATGATGTCCCAGATGTGCTCAGTTTGATTGAGGTCTGGGGAACGGGCGGGCCAGTCCATAGCATCAATGGCTTCCTCTTGCAGGAACCGCTGACACTCCAGCCACATGAGGTCTAGCATTGTCTTGCATTAGGAGGAACCCAGGGCCAACCGCTCCAGCATATGGTCTCACAAGGGGTCTGAGGATCTCATCTCAGTACCTAATGGCAGTCAGGCTACCTCTGGCGAGCACATGGAGGGATGTGCGGCCCCCCAAAGAAATACCACCCCTCACCATTACTGACCCACCGCTAAACCGTTCATGCTGGAGGATGTTGCAGGCAGCAGAACGTTCTCCACGGCTTCTCCAGACTCTGTCACGTCTGTCACATGTGCTCAGTGTGAACCTGCTTTCATCGTTCTGCACAACCCCTACCTGTGGATGTCGGGCCCTCATACCACCCTCATGGAGTCTGTTTCTGACCGTTTGAACAGACACATGCACATTTGTGGCCTGCTGGAGGTCATTTTGCAGGGCTCTGGCAGTGCTCCTCCTGCTCCTCCTTGCACAAAGGCGGAGGTAGCGGTCCTGCTGCTGGTTTGTTGCCGTTCTATGGCCTCCTCCACGTCTCCTGATGTACTGGCCTGTCTCCTGGTAGCGCCTCCATGCTCTGGACACTACGCTGACAGACACAGCAAACCTTCTTGCCACCGCTCGCATTGATGTGTCATCCTGGATGAGCTGCACTACCTGAGCCACTTTTGTGGGTTGTAGACTCCGTCTCATGCTACCACTAGAGTGAAAGCACCATGATCTGAGAAGTGGTCTGTAGTCACCACCTGTAGAAACAATCCTTTATTGGGGGTGTCTTGCTAATTGCCTATAATTTCCACCTGTTGTCTATTCCATTTGCACAACAGCATGTGAAATTGATTGTCAATCAGTGTTGCTTCCTAAGTGGACAGTTTGATTTCACAGGTGTCTGACTTGGAGTTACATTGTGTTGTTTAAGTGTTCCCTTTATGTTTTTGAGCAGTGGATGTTGTTTTTTTTTTAATGTTGTAATGTTCTACCTTTGACTCAAGGAAGAACTTGTCTTTGCTGATTTCACGTTTCTGTTTCTTGTGAATTTACACTTAAGCAACTACATCTCACTGCTGCATTTTGATGAAGCATTTGCACCATTTGTTTTTTACATTATGTAAGTATATAAATGTACTGCTGCTTTTTGTATTTTTATATAAACTGAAATATATTGAAGATTAAATTACAGGGGGACACTGAATATAAATGAGTCCTGTTTTAAAAGAAAGTTCAGCAACATGAGAAATAAAATTTTGGGGGAAATTTTGTCTTTACTGTTTTGCTTAAACAAAATATTTCTGAACATTTATAATATCGAGATGCCACATGCTTGCAGTACGACTCTACTTTGTTGTGCAATCATGTAAATGTCAACCTGCATGAGAGACAGATTTGGTGGATGTATTTGTATTAAAGCTAAAGCTGGAACTACACATTATTGCTTTCTTGAAAATATATAATGTTAAAGTATAAATGTTTATAATGTTCTTTGATTTTTGTGGGTGTATTAAATAAAATGTTGCACATAATTTATCACTTTCATATTTACTGCTGCTTCTTTTTTTAAGCTAAATTATGGCAACATTTAACAAAAGTTTTGTGCAGAGGAGTCACTGAAAATTAAGTATTTTAAATCTGAATGTATTTTAATAAATGTTTGGAGCACAAAATGCAGTTTTTCAGTAAAAAATGTAGGAAAATGTTACTGTTCTTAGACTTTTTAGAGCCAGATGAGCTGTAATAAGAAAACTGGTGATTTATTGATTAATAGTGAAGCACGGTGTAAACTTCATGTAATGGGATGTATTCCCAGCAGTGCAGTCAGGGTCTACTGCAGGTGCAAAACATGGCCGCTGGAGGTCGCGCTTTCCTCGGATTTACTGAAGAGTCGAGGCTGTTTGAGACCTCACTGATTGAAAAGCTGCAGCAGGAAGTCAACACAGCTCAGTCGTAGTTTGCTGAATGCACTATGGATCATTGTGCTCCACTTTCACATCACCTGTAGCTCAGGGAGTGTCTGCGGTGCTGGGAGCTGACTTTATCTTCTGTGAACTTTCATTTGTCCGCGGGTAAGTTTGATTTCTTAAGAAACATTATCCACGATTTTACTTTGGAATAACTTTTCGTAGTTTTATACTTACTTAATCCAGGAATGTCAACACACCTAAATAAATCTGTCGAATTTTTTATGGTGAAACTACTATTATTTTATTCTGTTTGTTTTTTTTAACCTGAACATTTAACACTAGTTTTGTTCACTTATAATGAACTCATAAACACCTATCACTGACCTAAGCTAGAAAATATGTTTAAATCCACTTTAGTAACTTGTAATTTAATGAAGATCACTAATTTCACCTTGTTGCACCCTTTCTATAAATATCCCTGAAACGCAGTTGATATTTTTCTTAGTGTTTTTTGCTGTAAGAAAGCATTTACTGCACTTTTTCACTAGTCTATATATTTTGGGGTGAAATTGTTACTTGTGTTACTCATCTATATAGCATTATATTATTATTTTTTATTATTATTTTCACTTGGTAAACCTGCCGAGAGAAAAAGCTGCCACCCCCCTCCTGCTTTTAAAATATCATACATGTGGGAAAGATGATCAGTTTTTATGCGTCTTTTTTCCTCAACAATCTGTTTAAGAAATCTCACACATCTGTTTTCTGGGACTGAACCAGCTGTGGCGAAAATGTTAAGTGAACATCTGAATGCAGAGCCGGTTTTTAGGATTTCAGCTGCCAGCCTGGTTTCAGTCCCTCTCCTGGAGAACGCGAAACATTCAGCTCTCCTGAACAAGTTCTGTCAATAGACATGTGACACTATCCCTGAAACATCTGAAGCTCAATCAACCTTCCTTGAATAAACAAGCCAATATTTGGAAGAAGACGTTGGGCTCTATCTGCTTTCACATGAGTTTCTGAGTGAATGTGATTAGTTGTGGCCCACTGTCAGACATCAGTGCTGTTCTTGTAGTGGAAAAGTGATTTAAGTGTTGCCCAACAGGAGCAGGCTGCATGTTTGAAGCCAGATGCTTTGGCACTGTAAAAGAGCAAATAACAGCCATAAAGCTCTGAAGCCTGGGCCTGGTGTGTCTTGTGGTTTAGGCGGTTTTCCCTTTCCCAGCAAGTCCACTTCACTTCACTTGTAGGGTCTGGTCTGTGGCCGATCCCTGCTGTTTCCACCTTTCTGTCCAGGATGTGCAGGAGTGACACACACACAAATACACACACACACACACACACACCCTTTTCTTACGTACATACTTACTCAAGTTGTGATTACCTTAATGACTAACATCTTCTCATCACGCCTTGCATCATCATCTGCCCACTGTATTTAGTTTGAGGCCGGATTTCAGGTATTGATTTTGAAACCTGGTGGTCGGTGTGGTCGGTGTTGTCTAGACATCAAAGTGGCAGCTTGTTTTGCTGCCTGGTGATTATAGGCTTACCGGTGCAGGTTGCATGCTGTGGATTAAAATGTAAAACCTCCGTTAGACCCCAGGTGATGGTTCTTGAACCAACATCTGTTGTTGTTGTTGATGCTTAGGCGTCATGTTACCATGGCAAAGGCTTTTAAAGTGAACTAGTCGCGGTGTCTTGGCTGCAGAGGAGCTTGAGTGTTCACGTTTGTGTATTTTTCCTTCACTACTAAGCAAAGAGTGCGCTCTCTGATGTTGCTGAGACAATGCTGTCATTGCTAATGTCATCCTCTGGCTTCATGTTTCCCATGACAGCAGACAGTGTGCCAGTAAGATGCAGCTACAACTGTGTTGACTGTCTGCAGCTCAACAAGTCACAACACTGGACAGCTGACAGGGTATATCAGCACCACAATTCACACTTGTTTCTCCTCTTTCTAATGTTACGTAGCCACATGCTAGTCTGAGGTTGAGTTTGAGGTTGTCTTGTAAGCTCTCTGACTGTGTTTGTGTTTGCAGCTGAGGCCTGGATGTGATACTGGGTCAGTGTGAGTAGGTAACCCTGCCTGAGGGTGCGATGTGTGGACCTGCCCTGCCCCTGTGTCTGCTGCTCTGGGTAGCAGGGACAGCTGTTTCCAGGACGCGAGGTATGTTGTTAAACTGACTATAACTCATTTTAGGAGGAATTTTTGTTAGAAGGCGCAATGGATAAGACGCATGCCTTTGGTGCGAGAGACCCGGGTTCAATCCCCCACTGTGATCCATCTGCCAATGTGTCCCTGAGCAAGAGACTTAATGCTGAAGTTGCTGAAGTTATTAGCAACTCCACAAAAGAGACGGTTTCATTTAGTGTTTGAGGCTCAAAGGAGTCAAATTACTGAACATTTCTTATAAAAGAGAGTGTAGAGATTAGAGAAAAGTCAAAAATACAATGTTGTATATCAGTTCTTTTCTTTCCTTCCTCCTTAATCATCTCAAGACCCCTCAGATTTATCTTGTGACCATTTGGAGGGGCCTGACATCCTAAGTTGGGAACCCCTGGATTAAACCTCCGAACTGTATATAAATTTGCTAAAATGTGTTTCTACTTAAAATCTCACATGAAATCTTAAATGTGACATGGTCTCTGAACTCAGGTGAGGTCGTAGCTCCTGCCAGTCTGAGTGCAGAGGCGGGTAGCTCCCTCCAGCTGGCCTGCAACGTCACCACGGCGATGGGTGACACTGTCCGGCAAGTTCGGTGGTACAACAAGCACAAGAAGATCCTCCTGGCGTACGAGCAGAGCGCCCCCATCCGCATCAGCCATCAGGAGCCCAACGTGCAGCTCACCACCTCCCACAATGACGGCAGCTCCATCACCATCACAAGGGTGAGGCCTGATGACGAGGGCTGTTACAGCTGCATCTTTGACGTTTACCCCACGGGCCTGCAAGAGGGCAAGACATGCATCAGCGTCACTGGTCAGTCTCGCTCTCTTAAAAGCTACTTCCGCCACCAGAGAGCTTGCAGATGTCTTATTTTAGATAATTAAAGGTTAATAATATCTTCCAACATGCTAAATCAGTTTTTGTGTTTGTTTTGGGATTTTTGTTCCTAGCTTCTGTTGTCTTAAAGAACAAGCTTTCTTCAGTTAGCATTTTCCAGTGCTGCAACTCACACCTAACATTTGAACTTTTGTTATTTTATCCCACATGACCCGATGTGACTGTGTTTATTTGTAGAAGTGGTGTGGTCTCCGTCCTGTCTGAGTGTTTTTCTCACATATGAGACAGGAAGAAGTAGACTGAACTGGCAGAACAGCGGGGGAGCAAGCCCACCCACCCAGTTAGCCTTGCCACTTCCTGTTGTTACTATTAAACGTCTGCATTTTTATTACTCCAGACTCCTGTAACCCCGACTTCTGCCCACAAACATGAGCCCTGTAAAGTTTTCATTGTACATATTGATGCCAGCAAAATAAATCTATATCTGATATTAAATAAAATAACAGCAGCATTTCATTTGTCTTAGGTAAAGTGCACCAGGAGGGCAACAAGACGGCCGTGAGCGGGAAGTCAGCCACCCTGTCCTGCTGGTACAGCCTCCCTGAGAGGGTGCGCCAGGTGCTGTGGAGGAAGACGGCCGAACAGGGCGACACCACCACCGTGGCCTCCTACGCCAAGCACAGCCACCGGAACATAGCCGACCAGTTTGCGGGTCGGGTCAGCTTGAGCCTCTCCCTGGGGGACACCGACCTGACCATCCAGCAGGTCAGGACGGAGGATGAGGCCTGCTACACCTGTGAGTTCCACACATACCCGGACGGCACCAAAAGCACCACCGCCTGCCTCTTTGTTTATGGTGAGGACCTTATCTGGGTAATACTGGGTGTTAGTGTCTCGCAACAACCCTGTCTGGTAAATGGCCATGTCTTTTAAACTCCACGCCCACCCACAGCTTAACGCCCAGGTACTTGGGTTTTGTCACTTGGGTAATTTTCTGTGACGTGTCATAAATTAAATATCATGTTTGATGAAGTTATTTGGGGGAAAAGAACTATTTATGACTAATGCTAGGTATTTCCAGACATTGTTCTAAACAGGTCAGATAAAGAAATTTCCGTTCGTTCCACCACTCCTTGTCGCCATTTGCTGGGAAAAAATTATGGTGTTAAATTCTGTGTTACAGTCTCTGAGCTCTGGCTTCCCACTTGTGTTCACCAGACTGGTGACGCCAGCCGTATGAATAGGGCTAACCATTCATGGTCTAGCATCTAAAATGCAACAACAGACACATTACCAATGTGTCAGACAAAGATCAGGAAGAGGAAGTGCTGTGTATAAATAAACAACAGGCCCTGAGGTGAAAGTTAATCTACTCATTAAAGTAGGTTCCGACCTGCTTTGGTGACGGCACTCCGTGTCCCTCGCCAACACTTAACCTCGTCCTCTGTTATTTCCCTCAATGTGCCAGAGAGGTGTAAACAACAGTGTTAAGCGTGTTGCCTCTCTTAGACTTTTAGAAGTCGTGAGCAAATGTTCCAGGAGTGCGAGTGGCCGCTAATCTTCCTCCGTGCGTGTTTTGGAGTGATAATGTTGACAGAGGGAGGGGTGTCACTGAGGGGAAAGGGGTGATTTAATTTGGGAGAAAGCCCAGGAGATGAGTGGCTCACTGTTTCCCCAGACACAAGGCCCTCAGAGAGTGTGTGTGTGTGTGTGTGTGTGTGTGTGTGTGTGTGTGTGTGTCCTTCTCCCTGCTCTGCTAAACAAGCTTTGTCTAAACTGAAGGGACCAGAGATCCAGACACAGCTACAAACACAACCACAGAGTTAGTAAAAGCTGTTTTTTCTCTGCTTTCTGCCGGCGTGTCTGAGGACAGCTTGTGTCATTGTGTCCTCAGGGCAGAGAGATTGACAGGCGATGTGTTCTGTCTCCATTATCACGGCAGAGAAACAAATCTCTGCTTTCTGCATTGGCAGGCTCAGACAAAATGCAAAATGGCAGCAACTACCACAAAGAAAAAACTAAATGACACGAAATATGTTGCTCTGAACTTAGAGCAACATTTACTCTTTTCGCTCAGTGTAAGATACTTAATATCAATATAAATTTTATTTATATAGCACACTTAAAAACACACAGGGTTGACCAAAGTGCTTCACAGGTTAAAATACAACAACAAGACACTACTTACACAGTAAAAGTACAGCAATAAAACATTATAATATACAGTATATGATATATAGTGATATTAAAATTGCCAGGAATAATAACAGACTTAACTCAAAGGAAATTCCAAAGAAAAGACATGTTTTTAACAGTGATTTAAAACGTTTGAGAGTTGGGGCGGTTCTGATTTGGACTGGCAGGCTTCTGGGTACATTCAGGAGGAGGAGATTGGTGGATTTCAGCACTCTAGCTGCAGTATGAACGTGAAGAAGCTCCGTTAAGTACAATGGAGCCAATCCATTAAGGCATTTAAAAGTTAAAAGTAAGATTTTAAGATCAATCCTGTAATGAACAGGAAGCCAGTGGGGGGAGCGCAACACAGGTGTGATTTGGTCCCTCTTCTTTGCTATCAGGAGGCGGGCAGCAAAATTTTGGACTAACTGCAGGTGCTGAATAGATAACTTGTCTAAGCCCACATACAGGAGTTGCAATAGTCAAGGCGGGAAGTTATAAATGCATTAATCACCCTCTCCAAATCTTTAGTAGGGAGATAGGCCTTTTTCAGTGAACCCTTTGTTTTTACATTCAGGGGCAAATAAATTATTATAATATAAAATAATAATAAACGCAATCTCTCTTTCACCAGTTTTACCCAAACCAGAGGTGAGCCATGTGACCTCATCCTCAGGGGTCACTGAGGCAAACTGTACCGCTCAGGCCCGACCTGCAGCGGAGATCACATGGAACGTCAGCGGGGACAACCGGACGCTCGGACTGCCCGTTTCTTCTGCCTACGACCAGGGCGACGGCACGACGATAGTGACGAGCACGCTGTTCTTCCAGTCGGGGCTGCTCAGTGACCTGTCCATCAAGTGCGTCGTGCACCACCAGGGCCTGGAGAAACCCCTCACAGTGCCCCTCAAGTCAAACGGTGAGGCGCAATCCTCATATGAAAGATCTTCTAAAGATCAGCATCAAGAGGTTTTTGCTGACATGTCTTTAGATAATTACTTTATTGATAAAGATAAAGCATGAGTCACTTGCAGCACACCTTCTCCAGAAAAGTTCCACATAAAAATCTATAATTTGGACTACCCAAGGATACCCAAGATCACTAACATTTTTAGTGATAAAATCAATATAAGTAACAGTATGTGCAATCAAGGCATTAAATTATAGCTAATTTAAAAAAAGATGCATGCAAGAAACGGGCCAGAAGCAAAACTACCTACCACTACTACACAAAACATTGTCAAAATATGTAAAAACCAGTTCTGCTTCCCATCCTTGGGTGCTGAGGTGCAGTAGAAAGAAGGCTTTTGTTTTCCACATGTGTGTATTCTCAGCTATTTCAGTCACGGGTAACTGCGGCTGCTTTGATGGCGTCCTGAATCCTGTAATGTTGCAGCATACGAGAAGGATTTTTTTTTTTTCTTAAGAAAGCCGTTACTCATCACCTAACATGTTTAGTCCAGATGTCATACATTTTACACATTTTAATTTTAAAACGTAAACAGTGTTGTGGAGTAAGGGCGTGTGTTTGTGTGCCGTAGTGGGTCCAGCCATGGTCGTCCTGCTCTCGGTGTGCGGCGTGGCAGCGGTCCTGCTCCTGTGTCTGTGTGTGTGCCTCTGCAAGTGCTTCATCTGTACCGACGGTGAGTCCCAACCCATGCAGCTTCACTTCCAACAAAAAAGCCTCATGTTTACTCTATCGAGCCACATTCACTTATCTTAAATGACTTAAACAGTTTCCATCCAGATGTTGTGTCATTTAATTACAGTTTGATTTAATCCACCTAAAACAGGAAACAGGACTGGTTGAATACTAGAGTTTGCAGCGGATGTATGCAACAATGTCATGTCTGCTCTCTAGTGGTTTTCCAAGGAATTCTGGGAATTACAGGGGATGGTTGCAAAATAGTAAACTTGAGCAATGTCGTCAAAAATACTGTACCTCCAGTAATGTGAGGATATAGATGTGGATTTCCTCTTGCCAGTTTCCCTCGCCCAGTAGCTCAGGAAAGGGTGAAGAAATTGAATAAGAGGCACTTTGAGCAATTCCTAATGTTGATCCTAACTGTGCCCGACTTCAGCAGAAGACTGAGGTTTTTCTGGCCGGCTCTCAGGAGTGACTCTGTAACTGCATGAATGAGAAGCAGAGCTATAGAAAGGAGCAAGAACATCTGAGAAAACAAATTTGAAGATGTCTCGGTTCAGGGCATTTCTTTATTAAAGGATCTATATAATGGGAGAAAAAGTCACACCACTAATGCAGTGCATTGTTTATCTTGTGGCCTATTGTGCTGGCCAAGTTTTGAGTGCCTCTTGTCATTGTAGTAATTATGATCAAGTGTTCACATTTCTTCTGGTTACATAAACAGAAAGCATCCTGGGATTGTAAGAGCCCTGACAAGCCGACCTCAGAGAACCTGAGGGAGGACACGTTTTCTGTGTCAAAGTTGTACTTAAAGCTGCTGTAGTCAGTATTTTTCTGTTGACAATGGATCACAGTTCCCCTCAGCTCTACGGAGCATTTCAGCAACTTTCAGCTCACAGTTCAGGTTTTCCGGCCCGTAACTTTATTGTTTTGGTTCACCCTCACCGCTTTTTCAAGGCGCACCAGAGGCAACTGTTTACAGTGGAAAAAATATATAAAAAACTGTACACTATCACAACATAACAAAGTTAGAAGCTAGCTGGTGAACATAGTGGAGCATTTAGCAGCTAAAGAGCCAGATATTTCCCTGAGGAGTTGGTGGAGACCAAAAACAGAGGGAGTGAATATTGGACTTGGACACAAACACGACTACAAATGAATGCTGATGTGCTGTTGTGTATGTTTAAATAAGCAACTGTTCGCTATCTCAACCTAAAAGATGATAATACTACATGTCAGCAATGTGATTACATCTTGTTTCTTCTGCCACCAAGTGGCCAAAATATCAGTTATCCAGGTTTAAAGAAGCTTAAGAGTGCCTGCCAACCACAAACACTGACAGCTACAATATACATATGTATGTTGTGCAAGTGCTGGAGAGATAAAAAAAAAAAAAAAGTAGTCTGTATTCATAATCACAGAAACATTCCTAAAAGTTGTACCACACTGTGAATGTGTTCAGACTTTTACCAATAATACAAACTGAGAATGTCTCTGATGCAGCTGGTCCTGTAAAGCATAAAGAAAATAAAAGACTGAATATAAGAAGAAACTACACTTAATGGTTGAAATCAATCATTTACTACACTGGATAGCTAATCAGACAGTTTTCTCTCATCAACTGCTTCAGATGCAGATTCAAACACTCAGTTGCAGCTCAGTTGTGTCAGGCCCTAAGGCAGCCAATATAATAAATAATATATTTACTTTGTCAGTTACAAAGAACTCATATAAATATATAATCTCCCCAAAATTGAGGTATTCTCATATGGTGCCAATTATTCCAGAAGGGCTGTTCAAAGAACAAATGTTAGATTTGGGAAATTAATCTGTTTCATCTGTCTTTGCTGTGGAAAGAAAATCTCAGAGGAAGTGACTATGGTGTAGGTGCATGTTGGTAAAGTAAGCATCATCTCACATTTCTCTGAAAACACACCCTAAAGGTCAAAAAGGGCACACAGCTACTTTCCACATAGAGATGCCAGGGGTGGATGCTTACTCATGTCATCAGCTCCCCCTTGACTCCTGTTAACACCTTCCTCACAGTCCTCTCTGGGTGTCATGGAAACAGTGCAGTGCCAGCGTAATGTGGCGCTGCCCCTTTATCATAAATTTTCTGCCCTCCGAGGAGAGGCAGGGAAAACCAAATGTATCGCAGCAGTGACAGAAGCCTTGGCAGACACCGGCGCTTCTGCTGGCCAAGCAAAAGTCGCTGCCGTAAAGGAAGAATAACAAAAGCAGGAGCTGATGTGTCGAGGTCAGGACGGTCCCACGGCTACTCTCGATTTGGCAAAGTACAATGTAGCTGTGTCACACGAGCCAACCGAAGCCATAATAGAAATCCCATCAAATAGATTTCACAAACTCTTCTACAACAATTCATTTTCTAAACAGGCCTCAATCACAAGCTCAAGCAGAGATTTGTGAGTTTCCCTTTCCTTCTCCTCATTGTTTTCTTGTGCAATAAGAAAGCAGAGGTCACATACTCATGTCTTGAGGATGGAAACCCATTGACACATCGCCTTCATTCCTACTTTCCTCGCCATCTCATCATGTCAAGTTCCAAAACAAGCATTCGCCCACAAGGGTCAGACAAAACAAAAGCCTCAATCATGTTGTTGATTTAAGAATGTTTGTGTGGTTCTCACATCCCTAACTCAAGAGACGGTCTTGACACTTTTAAATACTGTATTTGCATGTGATTGATAGTGTTGTGTTGCCTCCAGAACTTGCTCAAGTATCTGGGGCCTAACATTCAGCGTGGGATATCTGGAATAGGCTGCAGCTGGGTCACTGCAAAAATAGATTTTTCTCAGGGAAAAAAAGAGCTCCTGTTTGCTTGAGACTTTCCACATTGCTTGAAAGTCCTTCCTCCAACTCTGTGGACCCTGAGCAGAATAACAAGTGGTTGTCCCGATTGTGTTGAGTTAGCAGCCAGAAGAAAAGACCCTCTTTCTCTGTCTAATCCCTTGGACTGTGGAGTAAGACAGACATTAGAGGCCTGGAGGGGGACAAGGAGGGACAGAGCCCAAAGTTGAAAGCCTGCCCAGTTGATAACAACGCCCTCTCTCAAACTGAACTGTACAGACACACACACATGCTGTATTTCCCAGTCTTGGCTTGGCTGAGATGTGCCAGGGACACAAGCTTTTACTGTGATGTGATTCAGATTGCAGTTTAAGGGAAGAGAGCTGTGATGCGAAGTGTCTCAAGTCCTTATTTGGAGCTGACCAGATTCATTTTGTCTTTATCTTTTTTTTAACTTTATCTTTCAAGGCTTTTTTGATTGCATCTCACACACGACAACAGCTTGCAGAGGGCCATTTTGTGAATATTATCACATTCGAGTTCAACTTCACACCTCTGATCTCCCAGGACATGTATGATCCAATGTGTATTAACATTAATATTAGCAACACATTTAAAACTAATGCAATGGCTGGGGATACACAATGTGGTTTCTAGCCATGCAGATCATTGGAAAATTACACTTAGAAAAGTTAACAGGAACATTTATTTCCAGAAAAAGTCCTGGTCAGTATGAACATTGATAAGAAATAGTCCCTATGAAAACTCTTTCAAAGCCCCTGAAAACGTTCATATAAGTATATTTTCTATAACGTTAAATATTTAAGACATAATCAGCACCTTTCAGAGTTAAAACCAAAACTATCTGCATGACTTGGATGCCACTAGACGTGAGAGGGAACATGTGCTTGCTTATAATTTGGGTCAGTTGACCCTTTAAGTTGTTGCAGAAGAGATACAGGCCAGCGCGTTGGTTGCACAACAGAAGTTCACAGTAAAACTTTATGTTGACAAATGCTTAGAGATGATGAGCTGCAGAGAAACCCACTGTGGATGGCTTGAAAAGTTGTGATGTCTGCGGCTGAAGTTGCACCGCAGGCCGGCCACAGAGGCTTTTGTGGTTCCTTTTGAATCAGTGGGCGTAATTCAGCCTTGGCCTGCTTCAATCACGGCTGGGAAGCAGGGCCAAGGCCTGAGGTTCTTCCAGTAAAATGCTACTGGTCTATTTGTGTCTGTGTTTCCATGATTTTTTTTGGTGTGGCCCAAGTGGAGATGTACAGACTATAAGGTACAGTGGCACAGCTCAAAGGACAGGAAGTTCGCCACAGATATGAACCTTTTATCGGTGAAAGCAAATGTTTTCAGTGGCACCTCTCAATCTGTGGCATCACAGGAAGTGTGGAGGAGTGACCATATCCAGTCCAGCACACAAACCGGCCGGACCTTGAATCATGAGGGCAAAACTGATTACTCCTTAGAGATCCGAGAAAGGAAAACAGAACATGAATTGGACTTAGAATACAGAGAAGCATACCAAGTTGTTAACATGAAGAAAATGACCAGAGCTAGTCACTGCACTGCAAAAAAATAACCATCTTTAACCTTAAAATTATTCTAATATTGAGCCTTTTATCAGTAAAATGTGTTGTCCTCTGCAGTGTGGTTAACTCATCACTCTTGCTCTAATTGGCTTTTAGGCTACATGTGTCGATTCAGCTTCAACACTATAGACTTTTTCTGAGTGAGCCACCTCCTAAATAACTCACATTGCTGCCACATGTAGCCGACATTAAGGTGTGGCAGGCACTTAATTATGACTGTGGAATTCCTGCAGTGTTTCATTATTTTCTGCATGTGGTCTTTTGGATCCCAGTCGGTGTTTTGGTGTATGCGTGCACGCGTGCGCAGACATGTATGAGCTTGCTGTGTTTATTCTTGCATTCTTGTGTGGGATTTTACATCAAGTAAATACTACCTCTGCCCATGACGTTGAGATATTTTTGCCTTGAGCTCTCACTCTTCACTTGGTGCTGCTGTAGAAACAGTATGGAATTGTTTGCCTTGTGTTCTGTATACACCAATTTTCAATTTGTTCACTACTTTGGTTTATGACCAAAGACCTGACTCTCAAGCCAAAGCTGTATTTTTTGTTTAGTGATATACAGCAACTGTTAGTACCCTCTAAACTTATATTTTCTGGCCCAACAATTTTTTCTTATGATAAAGATTCCAGTCTTTTGGATGTTTATGGAAAACTTTTAGCTATTAAGATAGGGTTATACGTAGTTGTCATAGTAATATTAGGAAACGGATATATATATATATATTATATAAAAAATTCACACTTTATACAAAGAAAATATAATTCAGTTTAGATGGTGTCATATTGCTCAACAAACAGGATACAGCAGAAAGTAAATGGGATGAAAAGCTGAGGAGCGGAGTGTATAGCGAAAAACTTCTTTTTGAACAAGTTAGGGCATGAAACTTGGGCTGAAAGTGTCTGCTGTTGTGTAAATTGTCCCAAAAATAAATAAACACAGTGCATAGATCAGTGTAAGAATCAATAAAAAAAATCAACTGTATACCTGTGCATGATGTATTGTTCATGTTCTCATCACTAAATGGGTAAAAACACTGAAATTAGAGCCAGCTTTCCAAAAACCTTATGTCAAACTCATACTGCTCAACTTTTTACTGGTGGAATATGTCAGGGAAAAAGGTGTTGCAGCCCGACAGGACATGCAGAGTGCTGAGAAAGGATTGCGTGATTATTGCAAAATGGGAAATCAAACATTGTGGAAAGTTTCTCAGGACAAGGCTGACCAACTAACTGTGTGTCTCTCTTCTCTCTTTCTGTCCAGACTGATTTGGAGCCCGGCGTCATGGCTGCTTTGATGAAGGTCCAGGGGAGCTCTGAGCCTGACCTAGCTGCTCAGCACCGTGCCCTCCAGCTCAGCGTGCAGAGGAAGGGAACAGAGCTTTCACAGAGCTGAGACAACACTGCCGGTTCTGCTTCTATGAGCTTGGAAGATACCGCTAGTGCAGACACAAATTTCTCGTTGTTTATTACAAAGTAAACAGAACTAAAAACACAGTATTTAACGCTAGATATTACACTTACAGTAGAACAGTTGCTTTGATAATTGATCAAATCGTTGTGATATGAATAGAGGTTTTATATCTTATTCCACGAAGAAGGTCCAGTTATTGGGCTAAAGTGATAATCTAAAAAGGGTGTGTGTGTGTGTGTGTGTGTGTGTGTGTGTGAGATAAGTTATATTTTCAATTTAAATTTAGGTTGAGTAGATTTTGTTTTTGACTTTGTTGGGTGGCTTATTAAGAAAATTAATTACTTGGATCTAAATTTATATACATAAATAATTTATCAGAGAGGGAGTTTATTAGTTCCCATTCAAAAATAACCCATTTTTTCTTTAAAGCTCCTTAAAACATGGTTTCAAATCTTTTTTTTTTTTCTAAAAAAAGTAGGAACAAAACTTTCCTAGTTGTCGTCAGGTCATTGTGTGAGATTTGATTGACAGTGATATGGAAACATAATCAAACAAACCCCACAACTGTCATCAGATTTTAATTCTGATTTCTGATTGTTCCCTGAGCTTAGCCTACATGACGTCACCTACCTTGCAAGTTACAGTAAATCAAAAAGAAGCAGGGGGACAGAGGTTAAACTTATAGTGAACCAGCCCTGTTGTGAGTCAGACTCAACGGATTTTTTGAGTAGAAGAATGAAAGGTTTGTTATTTATAGCTGCTGTGTTGTGTGGGACAGAGAAGGGTGGTCAACCTGTAACCTTCATGTACCCGGTGGTTTACACCGCCCAAACGATTCCTGTGTGGAGGAACCTCGCGGACGTGAATCACTGTTTGTGGCAGACAGAAACTGTGCGAGGGTATTGGAGTGTGTCCACGTGTGTGTGTGTGTGTGTGTTTTGAAACTGAAAGGAAGCATGTGTGAGGAGCATCAGTGTTAAGAATTTAACCATTTATTTGGGAAAATATTAATATAGGCCCACGTGGGCTGTGTACAGTATAGTTAATTTTGTAGAAAATCTCATTCATCAGGGAAAAAAACCCATATATTCTGTTAACAATTAAACATCGCTGTTGGATGGTCATCTACTTTTACGGTGAAGTCTTATCTGTATATAAAAACAGTTAAGGGTCAAATGTTAATAAATGCCTACACTGAAGTTAAAAAACGTAGCTGTTGTCTACCTGCTGTTTTAATTTTTCTTTCAGTTTAATAATCATTCAGTCTTCAATGTCAAAAGTGTTTCTGAACAGAATTCACCTTTGTAGCATCTGTAAGAGATATGATTTACTGTACTGGTGCTGAGGTTAAAAGTAGATCAGAAATAAAACTATCTGCTGTTTCACTGTTTATTTTTATGTACTGTATATTGGAGATATTTGAGTAAGAATGTCAAATAATACCTCAAAGTAACTGAACTCTCCACACTAGCTTGGTTTCTCTTGACATTGTTGGGCGGTGATGTATGAAGGCTGTGGGTGGGACAGTAACCTCACCAGAAACTCACACAATAGGAAACTCATTTCCTCCACAGCCCACTCCAGTGACTTTACTATTTCAACTCTCAGACCCTGCAACTGGCATCACGACTTGAATTTTTTTAAATAATCTATGACTAAACAATGCAAATATTTAAAGCTTAAATTAGCTTCAGATTAGCCCACATCCCATTCAAACTGTTTCAGGTGTTATTATTGAGTCAGTCAATTGTGAGTCATGGATGAACTGAGTTTCACACCAAAATAATAATTATTGACATAACATTAAAGCACGCCATGAGTTCAACCAAGGTTTCTGTTCCATCCATCCATCCATCCATCATCAACCGCTTATCCTGCGTACAGGGTCGCGGGGAGGTTTCTGTTCCTTAAAATTATTTTAGAAATGTGTTAGACTCATGTAAAGATTCCCAACCAGAGTATTTATTATTTATTGGTATTACTCTGGACACTAATTGAGATGGCTTTTAAAAAGTTTGTAGTTAGCAAGTGAGCAGAAATCTTAACAGTTAACAGTAATGTAACAGAAAAATGTTTGAAACAGTTAGCTAAAAGTAATGTAAGTATAAAACAAATATGAAATGTTTGAAATTGTTTGCAGTAGTAATAGCAGTAGCTAAAAGTCACAGAAACCCTGACACTTAAAGTGGTGGTAGGATATTACAAATGCAAACTAGTCAAACAAAAATGTTGACATTTTAATTGTGTGAAAAAATATTCTAACAATCCAATCAGCATTAAAGTCTAAAATCAATTAAAAAGGACATATTTGCAACATGACGGGTGATATAGATGAAATGCTACGTTAGTGACAGCGTTAAGTGAAATTCTGTTAATGTACTGTAAGTGTAGCCCAGAGGCTTAAGAACTTATTAGGTTTTACTTTGAAATGAATTACATTTGCTTTTTTGTAAAAATGTAAACAAAGTGTGTTAGATTGAGAGTGGGAACCCTCTTTGTCTCAGAAAGTGATCAGTTTTCTTGAATTTTTCTCAAACTGAATTTATCCTGTTTTGGAAAAGCGTGTCTGAGTGGGGCATTGTAGCGTTTTCTCCAAACATATTTCATGTAAAATAAAGTGATTGATTTTCCTTACAGTTTCCACAAAGTTCACAAAGACCGGAAAGGGTAAGTATTATTTTGTCATTAAATCACATAATTTGACTATTAATTAAAAACAGAGGCTATCTGGAGGAAACTTTTGGTCCCTCTATGGCTTTAATGGTTTATGCGGTCACACTGGTAAGAAATAATGAATTCAGTAATCACCTTAAGGATTTTGTTAATGTGTCTGCAACCTGTGTCACGAAGTTCAGAACCCTGAGTTTTGCTTTTGCACCACTAGATGGCGACCATGTTTAATTTGTTTTAAAGTGACCCATCCAGCCTTTACTCAAGTTTTTGCACAATTTAACACTTCCACTGGACAAAAATAACATGTTAAAGAAAATGGCACCGCTGTGAAAGATGTGGACCCCTAATAACAGCTGAAAACAGCCCCATACATGTTTTTGTACTTCCTTGTTTATAACTCTAAAGAGGGAATGAGTCTCTCTACCTGCATGTGTCACATGGTCGATGGTGGGCGATGCAGTATGTTGGGTGGGGAGGCATCTATGTTTGTGTATTTGTATGTGTGTGTGAGTTTCATGTTTTTATATCCCGGTGGGGACTTTAACCTGAATGCATGCTAATTTATGGGGACTCCTGTCACCATGGGTCAAAACTTGAGGTCCCTGCGGGTAGAGATTGCTTTTTGAAGGTTAAGACTTGGTTTTAGGATTCAGGTTACAGTTGGGTTAAGGGGATGGTAAAGGGTAATGGTGGATTAGGTATGTAGTTGTGATGGTTAATGTCAGGGTGAGGGGATAGGAAATGCATTATGTCTAAAAGATGTCCCCATTGGGATAGAGGAACGTGTGTGTGTGTGTGTGTGTGTGTGTGTGTGTGTGTGTGTGTGTGTGTGGAGAGTGCCTATGCCAGATTGTGCAGGCAATGCAGCAATGTACGTCAGCTTTTAGCACTTTCAAAACCACAGAGGTAGCACATCCCACGGGCCACGCTGCTCCACGTGCTTCATGCAGCTTTGCACTGCAGGTCCAACTCACTACTATCACTGCTTCAGTCACTCTCATTCTATAAATTGTGTTTTTGGCGATTTAACCAGCCATCTATTGCACTCTCTGGCTTGTTTACAGATACTATCAGCTTCTGTTGCTTAATCTACAGTGTCTACAGTCTACAAAACATTATCAGGCAATCATTGTGGCTGCAGCTTTGTTGCCACAAAATCACAAGTTCACTCATTAAAATCAGGATGCTGAACAGCTGTGTTAATTACAAATATAAATGTCATGTCATTGCATGCTAGATTTCAAGATTTTTACCTATGGAAGATAAAGTATTTGGTCCATTTCATTCTGCATTAACCTAAAAAAAAATTTTTATTTATGAATCCAGTAATCCTTTCTATGGCCAGCATTGTATACTAATGTTTTTTCTTTGTCTATAAAAATTAATATGGTTCCTGCTGTAAAAATGAAATGCTTCATGACCTTTTCAAAATTCACAAAAGGAGGCCCATGGAGATTTTTGGTTCAGTTTTTGTTGAGCTGGTTTCAGTCTGAACTGAAAGGTGTCATTTCCTGGATTCAGGGTGGGAAAGAGTTTATCTTGCAATGAGCTAAAATACAACCCTAAAAAGGTTTTCTCCATCTGTCCGCTCTAAACAAGTACTTTAACAAGCTGTAAATATGACTCATATTGACATATGGCAGGCGTCTTTTTGGGATTTACACTAACTTATTAGTACCTTAGACAGAGTTCAATATAGAGTTTATGGTTAATGTGCTGCTGTTGTGAACATCAGTAAATAATGTGATCAGTTTTGCACACATTTTTGCTAATTATGTCAGATAAGCTAGCATTCTCTCTTTTTTAAGCCAAACACGTTAATGGCTTTGCTAAATTAGCTTAGCTTTTTATTCATTTGTAGCCTGGTTGTTATTTATCTACTGAGAGACCCATCAAATTCCTCCGTAAACTGTAGGCCTATAGTTTTTTTGCCTGGCTGTGTAGGTCACCCTCAGGCTGATTTATAATTAAATAGGTGGTATTATGCTCATTTCCAGGTTCAAAATCTTATTTAGGGGTTTGTACCAGAACAGTTACATGGTTTAATTTTCAAAAAACACCATATATTTCTCATACTGCACATTGCTGCAGCTCCTCTTTTCACCCTGTGTGTTGTACGCTCTGCTCTTGAGCTACAGAGTGATGCATCTTACTTGTACAAAATCTTTGTTGTGAGTTGCACATGCGCAGTTCCCAGGTAAGGACTACTAGCCAATCAGAAGCAGAGAAGGGCGGGTCGTAAGAAACAAGGTAGTGTGATCCAAATCAAAGCCGTTTCAGACTGCGACCGTAACCTAGCAGATGGTATAAGTTTCTCTCAAGTCCACAACCACACAACATTGTTCCACATCTTACCATAAACCACTACAAAAATCACCATATTTCAACTCAATTTTACATAAAAATTGGCCAAACAATTTGAACGTTTGCTCAGTAGCTTTCACATCGGGTGCAACATTAGCATTATAGCTATAACTTTAGCTGTGTTAGCCAACGTTTACAACAACTCCACGCTTGAAGAGTCTGTGAAGTTACATTGCCGTGTTTATTTTAAATATAATTCACAACCAATAAAGCATACTTACAGGTTGTGATTGTGAATTTCCAGGCCCAAACAGAGTCGGAGTTGAATCGTCTCTTAGGACTAAAGGTTGAACTGTTGCCGGTGTTCTGACGATCTATGCTGCCTTGCCGAAAAATGCTACCATAGCGCAAATCGATAGACTTGACTCGGCGCTGCTCCTTTTTCCATTGCAGATAGTACCCAGAGATAGTACGTAGCTTATCGTCATAGAGACGCCACACACAACTGCCGCGACGTAATGTTCAATGCGACACACACACCAGCGATCCACACAGCTTTCTCTTTTTAAGTTAAAACGTTTCAACATTACTCAGAATGTAAAGACAGATAAGCGGTATGAAAACCTTCCAGCTGTGTTTTCCTCTGCAGTTGTTGCTGCAGCGGTCTGTGTGACGGCGGTCTGTGAGCGGGGTTGGCACAGGCTTCCCCCGCAGCCACTTGCGGAGCTCCTCAACTCTGAAAATATTATTATTGATATATAACATTTTTGTTCCACCATCACTTCTGATTTCTCACCTCTAAACTTCTCAGAAGTGGATTTAGTGACAAAACTGTAAAATAGAAAACTTTCTGTTGCTGGCCTCTGTCTGGTGCACGCAATGATAATGCAGTGAATAGTGACGATTCTCTCTGACCAATCAGCAGTCTGTCGTGTTTTCACGTTACATTTTAGTATCCCTCAGCTCACTTGGAACCTCGAGGGAGGTGAGGTGATATGAAAAAAAGTACCTGGAACTGGAACCAGACTAGCTTGGTTTGAGGGCGTGCCTGACGCCGCTATCAGCCTGGCAAGCTTTATTTTCATTGTGACGTCACAAGTAAAGGAAGTGAAGGGCTGGACTACAAACAAGCTGTTTTCAAGCAGTTCAGAGCAGAGCTTTCTGTGGGAGATGGGATCTCCCTTTGGGCTGGACTTTGGGCTTTTTCACTTGGCAAACCTGTTACATGCACAAAAAAATATATATAACTCAATAAAGGAGAGTGATACCCTAACTTTTCAACTAGCGCCATCATCAGGTCAAACATTTTACTTGTCCAAAACAAAATACCTTCATAACTAATTCCATTTCTCATCATGCTTAGCTGTAGTATGTGCTTAGTTCTAATTAGCAAATGTTAGACTAACCATATCATCAGCTAACTATCACTATTTAACATGTTACTTGCTTTGCTAAATTAGCCTGCAAGTTATATTAGAAAGCTGTCCAACTTTTTATCTACATGTTGCATGGTTCATTTGTCTATTAATGCAGGTTAAAATGTGAAGTGAATCTTAAAGATGAGGATTTATGTCCAAAGGTAACATTTGAAAATACAATTCAACAGTTGGGTGAAATCTGAGATTGAGTCTGATGATGAGTAGAGGGGGAAAGTTTATTATTTATATTCGTTACTGTAACACAACATTCAGGCTTTGTCTTATGTTTATGTGACATGTGGTTTAATTCTGCTTCCTGTTCTTCAGTCGACAGTCTGTCTGCTCCCAAATGCACAACAGATACTGTACCCAAGAAGAAAAGCTGCCTTCAATCAACATCAAAAGAGCAAAGAACAAAGGTGCAAAAACACTCACAGACACACACCAATATAGATGAACAGACAATCACATAAAAATAAGGTATCTGCACCGGATGTGTGCACAAAGATTGTTACCTGTACAGGAAGTAAAACTATTAACCTGTGTATGTGTTACATTCTGCACTCACACACTCATCATAGCGGTTTCTCACATTAGAGATTTCACTTCTGTATTGTTACAGATCAATTTACAGGAATTCAAAAGGACAAAATGGATTCAACAGTGAGATCCATTGTTATTTACAACAGTAAACACACCATTATGAAGAAATGTATCATATTTTGTCAATGTAATTTTTTATTTTAAAGCCATTTACACCCAATCAATAGTTCCTAAAGCACATTACATAAAAATTACATTTTAACAAAGCACTGATCAGTAAAAATGTGAATAAATCACATACAAGTTACAGGTTACAAAATCTTTATAATGACACTATGAACTGTTTTAAAATGAATCATAGATTTAACTCTAAAAGAGTTCATGGCACAACCATAGGGACTATTATTCGTTTTCATAGATATGAATGGTAGACAAGGCTTGATGGGAGGGCTGGCAGCTTGGATCTGGTGTGTGCCTGGATTCACCTGCACAACGGACACCTTAGATTGACATCAGGAGGGATCAGTTACTGTTCTTAGAATCCTTACAGTGAATATTTACTGTATTACACATTTATTCTTATTGTTTGTGGCATTTCTAATTTATTTTTTACTGTTTTGTTTGTCAGATGAAACCTTCAGCAGGAGCTATGCAGAGTGGCTGTGCTACTGAACAATTACAGTATGTGCAAATGATAAAGTCTCACCTTTACATCCAGATTTTGATGTAACATATATAATTATCACTATGATTACAAACGCCATGATTCCAACAAGACGGTATAGCCAGACAATTTCCTGAATTGTTGAGATTTCTGCAAGATAAAAGAAGATATTTGACTCAGCATTATTGGTATGTACGTAAATTTAATTAGTGTAAAAAAATTTGTTAGCCATTCAATGCATGTGAAACAGCCACAACACTTTGAGAGTGAATGGAGTTTTCTTACCCAGTTCTGAAGTCGTCCATGTAACTGTGGTTAGCTCGACATCACCTGAAAATATTCAGATTGTTCATTTGCCACAAAAAAAGACGACGTATCTGATTATTTGGGAAATAATGAAGACTTTTCAATGAATCATTCAATAGTAGTACAAATTGTTTCTGTGTCTATTTAGATCAGTATTGTCCTGCTGTGTAGAAAGAGTCACTCACAATGGACAGATTTTATGCTGTATACTATATATTATTATATTATTCATATGCATGTATTTAAGCCTGTAAAAGTAATATAGGATACAGCTTTGAATGAACAAACCACATTTTAGTATTAGATTTAAATTAAGTCATGGTAAGCATGTGGAATAGCAGTGTCGCTTTAAAAACACTATGTACACATTTTTATTATTTGTGTCATTCTTGGAGCAGTGGTAGGCTGATCATCTCATACTGTATAAAACAATTAAGAAGAAGAGGTGAACATTTTATGTCAGAAATGTATTAAACTTCAGAATGAAACCAGAATGTAGCACAGCATTTGTTCATGTATTATTCAGTAGCAGTTAGACATGTAAGTTGTCCAATGTGAACACGGATGTCATGGGTCAGTTCAGTATACATGTATTAACGTGCTGAAAAATAAACACTCACCACTGACAGAGACGTTGATAATATGACCCCCCATGAGCCCACTTTGGCAGTAATACACACCAGAGTCATTGCTGTGTATATTTTGGAAGACCAAATACGATACTCCTTCTAAATGTTTTAAAGCTTTCCACTCCGTTTTAATGTGACTGCCGCTGCTGACATTGACAGGGAAGGATGTCTTCTCATGTTTAAACCAGGAGACTGTTGGTGGTGAACTGTTGCAGAAACCAACTGTGCAGTTAATCCTAAGGATGTTCCCAAGGAAAGCTTTGTAAACAATGTTGCGACGTACTTTAATTTGAACTTCACAATTTGAATCTTCACCTGCAAAAGGAAAATAACAAAACAAACAGATTAGTAAGAAGGACTCGGCTACTCAGCCTCACTTGATAGCAAAATCAAAATCTTATACCCGCAGATGATGACAAAACATTACAGCGGTGTAAATGATCCATCCAGTTTGAATGATACAGAAAATAATTAGATCACAGAAAAAGGTTTATAGGTTTTTCATGCTGCAGCTATGGCCATCAAACTGAAAACTCAGGTCAGGAAGTCATTTGTGGTAACTTCGAGGTTAAAGCATTCTTCTGCCTTCAGTTTGTGTTACCTAAAACAAATTCTTCCAAATGAAATTGTGTAGGTATATGTGTAATGATAGATTTTTGGTTGGAGCCATGGTTGGAAATCAAGGTCTGCCAATCTTAATGAGGGAGGTGAGCTGCCCAACAGGCAAAAATTTAAGGCTACACTAATATATCTGATTGTGATTTCACATGAGCTTATAGCGCAAGGCTCAGTCATTACACTGCTGTTGTACGATACAATATGAAGCCTAGCTTTTACCAGCCCAAAGTAATCAACTTTTTAAGATGCGAAAACAATGCAGTTGGACCAATAAAAAGCAAGTGTTATGTAATTTCTACTGCCTTTAATGGCTGTAAAAGGGATAGGGCTTTTTTCTTTCACCGAGTAAGGATGTACATTTATATCATGGTTGCTCATGTCTTTTACTTTTTATTTGATAGGAATTAAATTAACTACATTTACATTCAATCTAGTTAATTTCTTTGTTGAATTTTAACGCTAGTCTCTGGGTGTATCCAGGAGAATATCTGGACGCCTGCTCTGGATTTATGTGTGAGGTATAGCGAGTGTATTTGAAAACCCTTTTCAGTCTTTATAACCTTCAACATCCCAAAACATAATTTATCTGATTCATATTCGTTCATTCATTATTTACTTTACTTCGCAACAGAGAAACTAAGGCCGTAACAAAGACCTGCTCAGACTAAGAGCGCGCAATGTAGATAGAATAAAAAATAACTTACTATCAGCTTCCAAAGTGAGGACGAGGGTCGCTAAAATGTACACATGATGCATGGTCAGGCTGTAGTTAGGTCTCATGGTGGAAACACTTCAAGAACCAGCTATTCAGCTCTGTAAAGGAACTATTACTGTTGCTCTGCTCTAGCTATGACAGTAAATGACATGTGGTTGACTTTACTTCCTGTTTTTGATTAGTGTACAGTGGGTATGGAAAGTATTCAGACCCCTTTAAATTTTTCACTCTTTGTTTCATTGCAGCCATTTTCCAAAAATCAAAAAAGTTCATTTTATTTCTCAGTAATGTACACTCAGCACCCCATCTTGACTGAAAAAAACTGAAATGTAGAAATTTTTGCAAATTTATTAAAAAAGAAAAACTGAAATATCACATGGTCATAAGTATTCAGACCCTTTGCTCAGTATTTAGTAGAAGCACCCTTTTGATCTAATACAGCCATGAGTCGTTTTGGAAAAGATGCAACAAGTTTTTCACATCTGGATTTGGGTATCCTCTGCCATTCCTCCTTGCAGATCCTCTCCAGTTCTGTCAGGTTGGATGGTAAACGTTGGTGGACAGCCATTTTCAGGTCTCTCCAGAGATGCTCAATTGGGTTTAAGTCAGGGCTCTGGCTGGTCCATTCAAGAACAGCCACGGAGTTGTTGTGAAGCCACTCCTTCGTTATTTTAGCGGTGTGCTTAGGGTCATTGTCTTGTTGGAAGGTAAACCTTCGGCCCAGTCTGAGGTCCAGAGCACTCTGGAAAAGGTTTTCGTCCAGGATATCCCTGTACTTGGCCGCATTCATCTTTCCCTCGATTGCAACCAGTCGTCCTGTCCCTGCAGCTGAAAAACACCCCCACAGCATGATGCTGCCACCACCATGCTTCACTGTTGAGACTGTATTGGACAGGTGATGAGCAGTGCCTGGTTTTCTCCACACATACCGCTTAGAATTAAGGCCAAAAAGTTCTATCTTGGTCTCATCAGACCAGAGGATCTTATTTATCACCATCTTCGAGTCCTTCAGGTGTTTTTTAGCAAACTCCATGCGGGCTTTCATGTGTCTTGCACTGAGGAGAGGCTTCCGTCGGGCCACTCTGCCATAAAGCCCCGACTGGTGGATTGCTGCAGTGATGGTTGACTTACTACAACTTTCTCCCATCTCCCGACTGCATCTCTGGAGCTCAGCCACAGTGACCTGGGTTCTTCTTTACCTCTCTCACCAAGGCTCTTCTCCCCCGATAGCTCAGTTTGGCCGGACGGCCAGCTCTAGGAAGGGTTCTGGTCGTCCCAAACGTCTTCCATTTGAGGATTATGGAGGCCACTGTGCTCTTAGGAACCTTAAGTGCAGCAGAAATTTTTTTGTAACCTTGGCCAGATCTGTGCCTTGCCACAATTCTGTCTCTGAGCTCTTCAGGCAGTTCCTTTGACCTCATGATTCTCATTTTCTCTGACATGCACTGTGAGCTGTAAGGTCTTATATAGACAGGTGTGTGGCTTTCCTAATCAAGTCCAATCAGTATAATCAAACACAGCTGGACTCAAATGAAGGTGTAGAACCATCTCAAGGATGATCAGAAGAAATAGACAGCACCTGAGTTAAATATGAGTGTCACGGCAAAGGGTCTGAATACTTATGACCATGTGATATTTCAGTTTTTCTTTTTTAATAAATTTGCAAAAATTTCTACATTTCAGTTTTTTTCAGTCAAGATGGGGTGCTGAGTGTACATTACTGAGAAATAAAATGAACTTTTTTGATTTTTGGAAAATGGCTGCAATGAAACAAAGAGTGAAAAATTTAAAGGGGTCTGAATACTTTCCGTACACACTGTATGTGCGTACCCCCATTACAGTGGGCTTTGAGGGCAAATACACTCAACCAGCTTATCAAAGCCTTGAGGAAGCACATTTCAGATATGCACGCACACACATACACACAAATATTTTTTCATATCTGAAGCTTTGGGCTTTTTTTAGTAAACATTCTTGCTTCATTGGTATTAGATAGTCTTAAAGGAAAAACAGCACAAGGCGAGTCAGCAGTGATAGCATCATGTAATCATAATTCAAATCGTCAGTTATAGATACACATTATATCATCTGATTGCACAAAATAATGAGATTATTACTTTCTCCATTTCCCAGTTTAAGAAACACAATCAATAATTCTAAAAGGTTGTGAAACACTAAATTACAAGAGTTCATTAGTCATTCATATAGTCAGAAAATGAGTCAGTAGTTGAGATTGTATATCTGGTTTGAGTTCATGAAACCATTAGTTATCAGATGCGATGTAAATTAATAGATTTAATTCAAGTCATGGAACTGCAACAGCATGAAACAAATCATTTCAACCAAGGTCACAAACAAACCCATATTAGTTGGAGACAGCAGACAAAAATTATAAAATTACATTTAGTTTGGTCAGAGTTAGTGCTGAGTCTCCAGTGCTGCAGATTTACACAGTCTGGGGATTTAGCAGCCAATGATCAACCTTTTCTCACTTGTGAGGTTAAAATAACTGGTGCAATTCTATATTTTTCTTATTGTCAACTAATCCAATCAAATACCAAAATCCAACACAACATTAGTCCATCTCTCAATATTCTGACTTCTCATCCTGTCTGTGGCACTCAGCCACAATCACATTACTTCTTACTGAAGACGTGAAAACGGGGCACAGATCTTCATTTTATTCATTTATTGTATAGTTTCAAAGTAATTTCCTAAAACAGCTGTGCACTGTGGGTTTTAGCAGATTTTCGACAAACAAGACGAAACAGGTGAATTTTTGGGGACTATTTTTATCTGTGTATTAATACACATTTGGTGCTCTAGTGAATATTTACAGTTGCAGGATGGTGTTTGTGGAACTGACTCTAAATAACTACATTGTGTGTACATGGTAGTGAAGAAACATGTCAGCCAGTGTGACTCATTTATGTGTTTTGAAATGTTTTTTGGGCAGCAATGAAGCGCTGTACCACAGAGGAATGAGATATATCAGGCTTTGGATACACAGATAATTCATGTTAGTAGGATCAATTTAATGTCGGTTTTGTTTTTTAATGAGATTTGGTGACATTAAGAAAAATCCGGAATATCACCAGCCTTTTGCCCCTGGCAATTTAATTTTGAAACAAGATTTGAATAATGCACCCGCAATTTGGTAGATCACAATGATTTGAGGAAATCCACCATAGGGGATCATGTCAGTATAATTTCCAGGTAAGAAAGAGATACATTTTATTGTTCTGTGATGTAAACAAGGCAAACTTCTAGCAAATCAGTAGTAACTTTACTTTTTCCAAAACTGTTAGTATAAAAGTAACTGAAGGTGGAGGAAAGAGGAAGGTGGCTAAAGTTGAGCGCAGAAGGCAGCGTATGAGGCAACAACTCTGAAATGTAATCTCCATTAGGTAATAATCAAACGGCAGCAGATAGTATTGATGCTGTGGTAAACCTCAATTTCATCAAGCGCTGGTAAAGACAGAAAGCACCTTTTCTATTTGGATTCAGTCTTGAGAGGTCATATTAAATATGTGTTTATTTGTCCAGTTTTTTGCTTACTTGCTACACAGAGCTGCTGATTTCAAGGTGCTTATGCCATCTGGGGTGCTGAACAATCACAAACTAGCACTATGCCTTAGTGCTAGTTTGGTTTACTCCATTTCAATTTAGCACGTATGGAGTGCACCCATGTTGGTACATGATGACCTCACAAATTCCCAGCACAGCTCCGCCAAACTTGAGCGAAGGTCTAATCAGCCAAAGTGAAAACACCTGTGCAGGTGTGTAGGGCCTTTAAAGTATTGACCAGACGGTGGAAATGAAAATATTAGTGCTTAGATTATAGGACAAATATTTAGAGCATCAGGTAGACTGGGTGGGGAAGTCTGTGCTGTAGCATCCTCTTGTTGTGATGAGAGCAGTTTTTACAAAAATGGAAATGAAAACTCTGTCCAAGACGAGCTTCGTGGATCTGAATCCCTTGCCCTCCAGAGCTCCTCTGGGATGTACCAATTTGAAATATCAGTGCTCTTCTAGTGTCTGGTTGGTTTTGGGCCTTGAACACGGATCGCCGCATACTCCGAAAACTCCTCCTGTGGCCTCCGTGGCCGAGCAGCAACCCCCACAGGGAGCTGATGGTTGAGAGCTGCATACACAACAGAATTCTCCTCTTCCTCCACCGTATTCCTCTTTCTGTCTCTGTCCCCTTTTATCTTGCTGTAAAGGCGCTCACTGTCTCTTGGTAATGGCTCATTGAGTTGCAAGGGCTGTTCTCTTCGGGTAGATCTCCGAGATGGCGGGGCAGAGGGGCTTCCTCTCGGTGAGGGCTGGAGGCTGGCGTGGGGGAGTGGTTGCTCGACCATGGGGATTGCCATGTACTGCAAACATCCAAAAAAGTATTAAAATAGTTGAAGGAATAAAAATGGGATAAGGTGGCTGTAAGTTTGAATTTGTTTTGTGTTACCTGATTTTCAGTTTGCATCTCTTTCTTTGATTTCCCTGCATGGTGATATTTTGGTGAAATTAGTTACTGTTTTCAGAGTCATGATCACATCCTGGATGGCACATTTATTTAAATAGGCCTACTTGTTGGCATTTTATCTTGGAAAAGGAAAATTCCCCTTTACTGAACAACAAATGGAACAAATCACCTTTACATCCTCGCATTGATGCAACAGATATAATTATCACGATGATGACGAATGCCACAATCCCAGTAGCAGTGTACACGTACATCCAGAGATTTTCTGTTGGGTCAGAATCAGCAGTTGGTACGTCTGTGAGAAAAAGAGATAAAAGAGAGAAATTTGACTCCATATGAATGTTTTTATGTATTTAAAACTATAGCCTACAGTGTCGTATTGAGATCGAAATTAAGTAATGAAAAGCATGTGGAATAGCACGTGTTGCTGTGAAACACTATATATACAAATTTCTTACTTGTGTCATTCTTCTTTGTAACATTGGTATGCTCATCATCTCGTACTGTATAAAACAATAAAGAATCTTAAATCTTAATGATAGAAGAGGTGAAAATTTTATGTCAGAAATGTTTTATATTTCCAAATTAAACCAGAATGCAGCACTGAATTTGTTTATTATTCAGTAGCAGTTAGAAATGTTGCACAATGTGAACACAGGTTTCTTGGGTCTGTTCAGTTCAGTAGGCTATACATGTATTAAAGTACTGAAAAATACACACTCACCATGGACAGAGACGTTGATAATATGACCCACCATGAGCCCACTTTGGCAGTAATACACACCAGAGTCATTGCTGTGTATATTTTGGAAGACCAAATACGATACTCCTTCTAAATGTTTTAAAGCTTTCCACTCCGTTTTAATGTGACTGCTGCTGCTGACATTGACAGGGACGGATGTCTTCTCATGTTTAAACCAGGAGACTGTTGGTGGTGAACTGTTGCAGAAACCAACTGTGCAGTTAATCCTAAGGATGTTCCCAAGGAAAGCTTCATAAACCGTGTTGCGACGTACTTTAATTTGAACTTCACAATTTGAATCTTCATCTGCAAAAGGAAAATGACAACAAACACAAATTAGTTTAATTCATCATGACTTGATTGTGTACTGTATTACTGTAATGTAGCAATTGAATCTGATTGCAGCCAATGATACAAGAATATAACACAAGATCTTGAAAACAGGCAACATTTTTAATCACGGATTCTGCAGGGTCATCACGTTAAAGTGTTTTAAAGCCCTTTTTAATATAACATAGAATGTAATTTAATACCTGTTAGGGTAATACCAGCCAAAATAAGTAAATTATATCAAGTCTTTGTAGGACTGCACAGCAGTTTATAACGATAATTCCTTATTATTTAAACTGATGCAACCCAGATAAGCAGCAAAACAATAATGAATAGGAGTAGTAAATAAAGGCCAGCAATGCGTGTGCATGATGCGCGTAACAGTCTTGCACGTGAATACATTTTTGATTAATAAAAAAATTTATTAATAAAAAAATAAATAAAAATAAAAAAAATAATTGGGGGTCATAGTAAGGTTGAACAACAAAGAGATGGGGGTGTGAAAATGGGTGTTTGTATTTAGAGACGTCTGGCCTTATCCTCTATTAGCGGTGGTGGGGGGTCGATCACCAAAAGGTGAAGACAGGTGTGAAAAGCGGGGTTGGTGTATATGGGATGTCCGGTGTTATCCTCTAAAAGCGGATGTTTGGGAATGGCTTTAGCAGTCAGTTGTGTGTATATATAGCGGGCTAGTTTTTGACTTACATCTGACCGAGAGCGTGGAACAGGGTGACTGAATGATTTTTGAGTGAATCCGTATCGGACAGAGCTATCTTTGTGCAGAACAACAGCGCCATCTTTGCAGCATCACAATCATGGACGTCACAGGTAATCAATTAGGAGTAATGACTCCAAAACGACATATAATTATAGATCCAGTTGCAATGAGTATGGCTCCTAGAAAGAAGACTCCCCCAACGACATTGGCTGATTTTCTGGACCGAAAGGCTTAGACGCCTCAGTTTAAATGGGCAGTGGAAGATTTTAGAATGTCGGGATTCTTGTTTGAGCACGGATCAGTTCATCTTTATGAAATTTTTCTTCCTGAAAGCACACCGCACGTTAGTTTTTCAGCCAAAGAATGGAATTACTTCAGAAACAAAGTCTGTAAAGATATGAGTGCTTCAAAAGGACCAGGGCAACGAAAAGGCTACCCCATCACGTCTAAAGAGTGGGAGACGTGGTTCAGCACCGGCTTTGTGGTCCAGTGGGGAGAATGGGATAGAACCCTTGAAGTCTTCTCGCACATTGATAAATTATTCAGATGGTATAAACCTTATGTTAGCTATGTAGGGATCAAAAGAAAACTTTTTGGTCCTGAGGAAGATGAACAACAAACAATACCACAGACAACCTCAAAGACCTCCACGACGTGGCTGACAGTGACATTGTTCTAATTAATATGTCTTGTACTGGTACGAGGACATGTGCAGAGGGTGAGGATCTATCAAGCAGCCCTGAATATTTACCATAATTCCAAGATGATGTCGTCGATAACTCATGGGTGGATGACTATGGCAAAGAACTGGGGAAAAGAAATTTAACATTTCTCATTCCTGAAGAAAAATCAGAAGAGGACAAGAGCAGGGACAAGCCGTTTAAGGGTGCCTGTTTGGACACTCTGGACTGTTGTGACAAGGACTCAAGGACACACACTAAAACTATTGCTAGCAGTAGTCTACCCCAAGTGAAAAAGAAATATACTTAAGTAGCACTTTTTTTGGATGCACTTATTATATTTTAATTGTACTATACTAAGTGTATATTAAATGTATTATTTTGGAACAACTTAAAGTATATTAAGTGTCATTTTAAAAATACTTAAAGTCAACTTTAAGATAATTGCAATATATTTTAATATACTTTGTTGTGTTAAAATGGACCTATTTAAAGTACCTTTGCTGTAATTTAAATATACTTTTTTAAATTTAACTTAAAATACCCTTTTGTGCTATACTTGAAGAACTGTTTAAATATATTTTAAATGTGTTCCCTGAACATTTTTATTAGCATTTCAGCATATTAATAATTTATTACTAGTATACTCCAAGAACCATTATTAATATCTTGGGAAGCTGCTTTATTAAACCATTCAGTATGAGAATAATGCATTATTAATGCATTAAAAATATCTTGCCCTTTTAGCATAATAATAAAAATCAGTTAAAAAAAGTATTTTACAACACACACACATACAGACAACTAAAAAACTTTAATTTTGTGTACATTACAAAAATAAATTCCTGTACATTAAAAGGTATAGCAGCATGTATCATATATTGACCAAAATACCTTCAAATATAAATAAAATCAGTAAAATGATGACATATGATCAGTATTACTGAAAAGTACACTATACACATCACATCATTAATGTTACCCATGGGGGTCCCTCACACAGTTCGGACTCTGGGTACGGCTCAGATGACCTCATGGCAAGCCATCCCACTTCTGACACCATATGCGGCGAAAGGCGAGAGCAGTCATCCTACCCAGATTCAAACACAGGTCTACCGGGTACCAAACATGCAACTTTGACAGCAACAGCAGCTCGTTGGTATGGCAGTCCAAGCTCTTACTCAACTGTTGTGAAGGTACTCCGTCACAAGCATATAGTATAAATGGTGAAACCAAACTGAAACTGAAAAATGTCACAATCCTTATCCTTCAAGTGGAGGGTCGGTTATCTTTGAGTAGGACTTGTTGCATTTTCTGTGACTGCAGACTCTATGGGATTTGGAAACTGCTTTATCACACAGCATCTGTGGAAGGGAAAAGGAAATATTTTGCCTATATCAAAGCAATATTACCTCTAATTAATTAATAACCAGTCAGATTTTTTATTTTGTTTAAAGTTGACACCATATGACACCATGTCTAGCTGTTCTGATAATGCTAACCGTTTAGGTTCAGGTGAAATGGTTTTCCACAAGGGACCCCTCCAAGTAAATGCTCAGTTCTTCCATTACAACATGATCAAAAACATTACATAAACACTACTGTACATTCAGCCAAGGAGCTGTATATGATAAAATGTTATTAAACAGGTACAACAAATAACACAAACATACAGACTTGTTTAACAACTGTTCTGTCTACATGTCATTTCACATTAACACAGCAGTTAATTTGTGAAGTACAAAAGTAGCAAATTACTTAATGTAGAACAATATTTTAAATAAAATAATTTTTTCACAAGAATGTTTGTTTATTTAGTCTGACCCTGTTGACATATATTGAGAGCAAGAACAGTGATCGTGTGCAGGAGCCAGACATACCTATGAGCACATTGAGCTTGTGAGGGTCCAGCTGGTCCTTTGAGGTTTTCGAGGCCTCTGAGCCATCTGAGTGAGGCAACGATCCCAGGAAATGCAGTTGCAAATGAGATATAATAAATATTCAGTTAGGCCAGTACTTCCACCCTGTTTTAGTTCTTCATTTGCGTATCATTATAAACACTGTAATTCTATTCTTATAGCAAATCTTTATTATTATTCTTTATTTCATTTTCTTGAGCTAAGGCAGGAAATTCCAACTCTGAGTTTAGCATTAAGTTGGTTAAAGTTGGCAAAGGGTAAGTTCAACTTTTAATAGTTGAATACAGGATCTATGACCATACAAATGGACATAAAGTTGAGCAGTATTTTACATAACATCACAAGCTATTACAGTGGGTACGGAAAGTATTCAGACCCCTTTAAATTTTTCACTCTTTGTTTCATTGCAGCCATTTTCCAAAAATCAAAAAAGTTCATTTTATTTCTCAGTAATGTACACTCAGCACCCCATCTTGACAGAAAAAAACAGAAATGTAGAAATTTTTGCAAATTTATTAAAAAAGAAAAACTGAAATATCACATGGTCATAAGTATTCAGACCCTTTGCCGTGACACTCATATTTAACTCAGGTGCTGTCTATTTCTTCTGATCATCCTTGAGATGGTTCTACACCTTCATTTGAGTCCAGCTGTGTTTGATTATACTGATTGGACTTGATTAGGAAAGCCACACACCTGTCTATATAAGACCTTACAGCTCACAGTGCATGTCAGAGCAAATGAGAATCATGAGGTCAAAGGAACTGCCTGAAGAGCTCAGAGACAGAATTGTGGCAAGGCACAGATCTGGCCAAGGTTACAAAAAAATTTCTGCTGCACTTAAGGTTCCTAAGAGCACAGTGGCCTCCATAATCCTCAAATGGAAGACGTTTGGGACGACCAGAACCCTTCCTAGAGCTGGCCGTCCGGCCAAACTGAGCTATCGGGGGAGAAGAGCCTTGGTGAGAGAGGTAAAGAAGAACCCAAAGGTCACTGTGGCTGAGCTCCAGAGATGCAGTCGGGAGATGGGAGAAAGTTGTAGTAAGTCAACCATCACTGCAGCAATCCACCAGTCGGGGCTTTATGGCAGAGTGGCCCGACGGAAGCCTCTCCTCAGTGCAAGACACATGAAAGCCCGCATGGAGTTTGCTAAAAAACACCTGAAGGACTCCAAGATGGTGATAAATAAGATCCTCTGGTCTGATGAGACCAAGATAGAACTTTTTGGCCTTAATTCTAAGCGGTATGTGTGGAGAACACCAGGCACTGCTCATCACCTGTCCAATACAGTCTCAACAGTGAAGCATGGTGGTGGCAGCATCATGCTGTGGGGGTGTTTTTCAGCTGCAGGGACAGGACGACTGGTTGCAATCGAGGGAAAGATTAATGCGGCCAAGTACAGGGATATCCTGGACGAAAACCTTTTCCAGAGTGCTCTGGACCTCAGACTGGGCCAAAGGTTTACCTTCCAACAAGACAATGACCCTAAGCGCACCGCTAAAATAACGAAGGAGTGGCTTCACAACAACTCCGTGGCTGTTCTTGAATGGCCCAGCCAGAGCCCTGACTTAAACCCAATTGAGCATCTCTGGAGAGACCTGAAAATGGCTGTCCACCAACGTTTACCATCCAACCTGACAGAACTGAAGAGGATCTGCAAGGAGGAATGGCAGAGGATACCCAAATCCAGATGTGAAAAACTTGTTGCATCTTTCCCAAAGCGACTCATGGCTGTATTAGATCAAAAGGGTGCTTCTACTAAATACTGAGCAAAGGGTCTGAATACTTATGACCATGTGATATTTCAGTTTTTCTTTTTTAATAAATTTGCAAAAATTTCTACATTTCTGTTTTTTTTCTGTCAAGATGGGGTGCTGAGTGTACATTACTGAGAAATAAAATGAACTTTTTTGATTTTTGGAAAATGGCTGCAATGAAACAAAGATTGAAAAATTTAAAGGGGTCTGAATACTTTCCGTACCCACTGTATATCGTGTGGTTAGGCATTGCAGAACATAAAAACGTTATTTCAAGCACATCTTAAAACAATTCTCACATACGCGTGTACACTTTAACATTGCTGTTATAACTGACTTATTGGTCACTGTAATAATTCCCCCTCCATGGTTGCAGTGAAGAGAAATCTCTAAAAAACAGTGTACCTTTAGAAGATATGCATATTCATAGTAGATTCAGCTAAACTTTAGAATGAATTTATACAAAAATGACAACTGTGGTGATGTCTTCAGACTATATGGGCAGGAATAATAATTACAGTGACCAATAACGTCCTGTAAACATGGACATGTGAGTATTAAGGTAGACTATAAAAATGTGAACATTTAGCACACAGACAGCAACATAGTAGTTGCATTTATTACTCTGATAATGACCTTACTGGTCATTTTAACAGTGCAAAAGCAGGCCTGCCTTGTTAAAATCTCATGCATCAAATTCCAGCAACAGGTTACTGAGACTGTATATTACAGAAATTTTAGTAACATTAAAAACTGCCTTACAGCAAAAAGCAATATATTTCTGTAACGTTAACTGCATTACTCCCAACAGTGTTTATAAGGCAGACGAAAGTTGCTGTCTCCATTATGAAGCTATTAAAATGCTAACTAACGTTAGCTAACAAATATATTAATCCATGTGCCAGCATTAGCTAATGCACACCAGAGTTATCCACCAAGTAAAATATTTCCAAACCCAGAGGGAGCTCAGCTTTAGTTAACTTACACAATTGTGTTGTCTTGCTAACAAAAATAAACTTACCAAGATTTTTGCTGGCAGTACCTGCGTCTGTCCTCTCCTGCTTGTAACTTGCCAATCACGCCTCTTTAGCTCTTTTCACATTTAACTTCTGCAGGGAGCTGACCGGATATTCTTCTCTTCTCTGTTCTTTTCTTATTATGTCTGCGGTGTCCACCTTCCAAGTCCGAGTCGGTAAAGTAAAACAAAGGAAACCTGAGAAATAAAATGATTTCTGGCCAAAAATAGCTTCCCTCTCACAGTTAACACGTTAACTTTCGTGAAGCTGACTTTCACGCTGTGTGATTGGGTCGTATATTTAAAGCCTTGATTCTGATTGGTCCAATTGAATGCATGCGCTAGTAGGCTGGGCGGGAGGGCACACTTCTCCCCGGTGTACCCGTGTTTACTGTTTACACACAGAAACAAGTATAACTACATTAAAGTATGCTTATTTCTATATGTGGTTGTTTGTTAAGTTAACAACATGTGCTGCTTCCTCCTGGGCCAGGTCACCCTTATGAAAGGGGTCTCTGATCTCAACTAGCTATTTACCTGATTAAAAAAAAATAAAAGTAAGAAAAGAAATGAAAAAAATATATATATATCCTTTTGAAAAATATATTTTAATGTTAAAAAAATATGTTTTAAAAATCATACTTCTGGAAATCAGGCTGAAACATGTGGCAATTACATAAATAATTACAATATTTTGCAGTAGCCTACACAATGAAGCATGTTTTGCATAAATATTATAATATTATAATTTTTAACCCACTAAAAGTGTAATTGTTTAACAATGTACTTCCACAAAGTACACCTAAATAGTATACACTAAGAGTTAAATAAATTTATTTTTAATAAATAGACTAAAATGTTAATTTAAAGTTTAATTAAGTATATATTTATTACAAATTTATTCAAAGTATACTTTTGAGAAGTATGTTAAAGCAAAGGAGAATATATCTTTAATGTACTTGTAGTAAGCATGTTAGAAGTATGAATGTACTATAAGCATACTATGTGAATTTCAAGTATATTTTCAGTGCCTTTAAGAGCACTTCTTTTTGACCTGGGACAGGTAACCGTAGCTTATTATTTATACGATTTACTGCAACAAAAAGCTAGAAAAATGTGTGTGTATTGTGCATATACAGATGAATGGTGCAGATAACAACCTCACACATGCATTGAAACGCTGCAATTCTTTTATATCAAAGGACATAAGAGGGAAATTACGCAGAAGCTTTTTAACAAAAATGTCGCCGATGCTCAAAAGTATGTCCTACGTGGTCTTGGGTTAGCACCAGAGTGTGAATGCAGTATTCGAGACGTTGCAGCAGTTGCTCTACAGATTTGGCTGAGGAATCCTTTTCTCATTGCTTCGCTTAAACGGGTAGTTAGAGTGGAGGACAGTGTGAGCACAGTAGTTAAGGAATCTCTGGACATCTGGAAGGAGGAAAAACACTAAAAACAATGGGGAATGTGTCTACTAAAGTCTACTAAACAATGTTGAAAAGAGATACATCGTGTATAAGATGAGAGCACTGTTGTGTGAAGCTGTTAACAATGCGATATGTGACACAAATAGGACACCTTGTTGTTCTAGATTTGACAAACAGACAGAATGTGTTAGACGAATGACCTCTGGATGGCGTACCATGGTGCAAATGACAGTGGATAAATATGCAGATGTGAAATTTACTCTACTCGATATAGCAAATGTTTTTCCTGTGAACGATAATGAGTTTCATACGGGTCATGTGTTTTGTTTTTGTACTTTTAGCATTGATTTGTGTGTTTTAATGCTAAACAGAAAACAACATGTTGATGTTGCTGATGTGAACTGTATCTTTGGTTTGTAAAAACATAGGTGCTTGTACTGATTTTCTGAAAAGTGTATAATTGTAATCATTGCTGACGGATATGTTGCGTATGTCGTTGGAAATAAAATACTTGAACACAGACATTGAAGCGTCAGTCTTTGTAACAAAGATCATGGAGGAGGTGATGAGGAATATATACTATGCGACAGAAAATGCAGGGGGTTACGAAGACAAGCAAAAACTTAAAAAGGCCATATTTGACACTATAGGGGTTCGGTACGCAGATTCAGACGTAGAAAACTGGCTTATGATGCAAGATGCCTATACTCTACACAAGATGGCTCCAGTGCATTTTAAGAGAAACAAGGATTTAGTGAATTCAATAGATTGGCAATTCCAGCTAGATCTAGTTGACATGTCCGCTAATTCTACTGAAAATGATGGGGTACACTATTTATTAACGTGTATAGATTTGTTTTCCAAACACGCATAGGTGCGTTGTTTAAAAAATAAGAGTAAATGCATCACAGCGTCCTTTAAAGATATCTTAACTGAAGGTAGAATACCGCATAAAATTCAAACAGACGAGGGAAAAGAGTTCTTAAACAAAGATTTCGTTAATGAAAATTAATAATGTCGTACACTTTACCACATCAAATGAGACTAAGGCATCTGTAGTAGAGCGCTTTAACAGGACTCTGAAATCTAAAATGTGGCGTTATTTAACAGCCAATAATTCTAAACAATACGTAGATATATTGTAGGATTTAGTCACCTCCTACAATCATAGTTATCATTGTAGTATTAAAATGAAACCAACTGATGTAACAAAAGACAATGAAGATATCGTATTTAACAACTTGTATAAAACAAAAGATAAAAGAGTAGTTTGTTTTAAACATAAAATGCCACAGAAGAACGAAAAATAACCACGCAGGCATTTGTAAACATTTTGTTACTGAAAAGTTTTAAAACAAGAACGAATAAAGTCAATACCCACTCACGCATTTGAAACAGCTTGTTACTGAGAAAGTTTAATTGTCATTATTATTTGCTACAAGACAGTTTAGCCACTGTTAAGAAAAAGCATACATAAAATCCACACTGAATCTCAACACATCCTCCTGCTTCTACAGCACATTCTCACAACTATATGTTACTGCATGTAAGAGACAGATGCTCACACACCCGCAACGCGGTCATTCAACACAAGAGGAAGCAAGATTCTCATGGCTTCCAGTGGAATTTGAGGACCTTATAACCTATCAGCTTTAAAGGCCGTCCCTCAGAAATCCTGTGATGCATAGCGGTGACAGGAGTTTTGTTAAAATTTATTAAAAAGCCTCCTATTTGCTTGAAATACAAAAGGTACTTTGTAATTTATGTTCTTAAATGTTTCTGGTTAGAATATAATGTTTTTTGTCGGTAATTGTCATTCCTATGACAGTTTACTACCGAACCATGAGTGAAGAAACTGTTTTATTTGATAGCCTTGTGACCATCCATATTATGGACAAACAACTGCATACAATGCTTATGGTTGATTGTTCAGTTGGTCTGTTAAAGAGTTATTTTCACAATGCTAGTGAACATGTACTGTGGTTAAACTCTCCAAAACGGAGACAAATCTATTGGGTTTGAGGTGTTTTCGAAGGAGGTGATGTCAAAAGAAAAACCCCAGAAAACAGTGCAGGTCTCACACACGGAAGGCTACCTGGTTTGCTTTAATCGACAAATTATCTCCGTCACAAGAGAAAGCAAGATTCTCTGCATTATATGCTTTAAAATCTAGATATTTGTCCCATCATATCAGTAAGGCATAAGGATTATAATACACTATACTTTAATTAATATAGTTGTATATAGATAGCTGTAATATCATGAATTTCAGCGCGCAAAGCTGGCCTTTATTTACTACTAATGGGTTAACCAATTAAAATGATTAATTAATTTACAGTAAGTTAATTAATCATTTTAATTTGCTTGTTGACACTTTCCCATTATGAGACGATGAGCGTCCTTGCTACTGTAGATAGCAGTTGTAATGGGAATTCCAAACATATTGCATGTAACCCTGGACTCAGGGAGACTAATGTGTGATGTGGCACTGCTGTATGATCCCTTGTGCTAGATCTATGATTGCTACAGCAATTAAATCATCAATGGGTCAGTATACACAACTACTAACTGATCTAACTGATTCAATGGAGTGGATCCCACCTTTCAGAAGGGAAGAAAGTGAAGTTTAATCTGTTTAATCTGAATTATTTCAGAGTTTTTTAATTATTTTCTGGGTTTTTGAATCAGTACATTTTATTGCTTATATCCTTTTATTTCTTATATTCTCATTTTGTTCCTTATATTTCTTATACTGTCATTTTTGTTATATTTTTACATAATCACCTTCTCTGCAAGTACTGCTAAGGTTACATGAAATGTTTGTATTCTTATGTTTGGTTAGCATAAAATGCTAAGAGGAAGTAAATGTAATGGGAATTCCAAACATATTGCATGTAACCCTGGAGACTAATGTGTGATGTGGCACTGAATCTGTGTAAAAGTAACAGTCCAAATATCTTGTCTCTCACATACATATAAATGCTGTATGTGTGTTGCTGTGAGTCCTTCTGCAGAAGACTTGAATAAAATTCACAGAAAGACAAGTGTTTGCCTGAGCTATTTATTTGAAAACCTTGGATTGCCAGCAGTGCTGACTGTTTACAATAGGGCTGATGCTGCTGACTGAACTTTCACAAAAAAGGTCAAAACATCCCTGTTTTAGATTATAGGAACCTGCAATCAGATCCAAAAACATTTTTATAGCTTATCTTTCTTTTTGTAAGTTGAATTTAAGACTTCTTATACCTTCTAGGCCTTTTTGAGGAACCTGAATTTAAAGCCTATTAAGATTTAGCAAGATCTCTAGATACCCTGAAGAGACTGGGAGTTGTTACATTGGTCAAAGGACACCAAATACACAGTTGAAATACACATGAGCAGCCTAATACTTTCTTAGTAAGACTGTAAAAGCGACATACAAGCTCAAAAGGCAAGTAAGCAGGACTTAATACAGTGAAACAGTGAAGACAATTACTTCATGACATTTCATTTTGTAAAAAGTGGAAAAACTTTTTACATGAGAGCCCGCAGTTGAAGGAACTGAAAGTGAACCCAACCTGAAGTAGTGTCTCAAGGTGGAATTTCACCTTTTACAGACTTTAATAACTCTTTATATAATTACTTTGCATAAATCACAGAAATCTGCTATATTTGTCTATTTAACACAATGCAAGTGTTTATTTACACAGCAGACCTTCCACTGTTCATGAATATTGAGCTAGAGTTCATTCCTGACCTTAGAAACAGCAATTGACAAAACAAGCTCACTACAAAGCCAATTTAGTAGCTATTTTGGAGGTTTCGAGCAAATCACATGGTCTTAAAATGTAAACTGAAAATTTAAAACATCTATGTTTCAATGACGAAATAATACCTGCTCTGTACTCAGACCACAGAAAAACATTTAAAGAAACAGGAAAACACAGAATAAATATATGAATGACACTGCAGTCAGTGGCAGAAAATAAAGTCACTCACAGCCATTTTTAAAATAAGTAATGACATTAGTAATTTTTTAATGAGGAAGGATGTAGCCTCTTTTATGTTTGTAAGACATCTCTAATTGTTTCCATCAAGCTCCCACATGCACAAAAAAGTCCCTCCTGAAATGAACAGAAAGTAAAACTTTTTATCTGAAACAGACGCTAAGTCTGTCAGTTTAACAGACATTCACAGTCAAATTTACATACTTCTAAAGACAAGTACGTGAGCGATAACACATTCACATTCAACATACTTGTTTGGTTTGGGAGGTGATGCCAACTCCATCCTTTTTAAAAACTATATGAGCTGCCTGTATACTTTGCAGTAGTATCTTAAGTCTAAATCCCACGTGGACACAGCATTTTAAAGTTCATGACTATACAGAAAAAAGCCTTACCAGAGATTCGGTTAGTGGTTACACTGTTCTCCTCATGAATTAAATAAGCTGACATTTCAGTCAAAAAGCCTGATTTTACACATTACACACCTAGAGAGGAAGGAAAGGTAACACTACACAAACACTGAGGTAGCAACATATGCAAAAAATAATAACTTACTGTCAGCGTTTAAGGTGAGAAGCAGCGCTGCCAAGATGGACACATGCAGGACGGTCCAGCAGTGTTTAGGCCTCATAATGGGAACAGTAAGGAAACCTCCCGTCATCTTCCAGTCACAGCCAATCCAAGCGGCAAATGTTCCTCCAGGCACAACATTACTTGTTTTTTTAAAAACAGAGAAGTGCTAAAGCTGAGGTTGGAGAAATATTGCTTTACATGCTGCTTCCTCTTTCTACTCTCTGCTCACTACCTTCTCTGCCTCCATCCCCTTTAAAGTAGGGGCGGTGAGTAAAGTGGAGGGGGGTGAAGGTCGGTGGGTGGTCTCGCTTCTGCAAATATTGCAGATCTAACACAGGAAAACATCTCAGATTAGGGGGTTCCCACAGTTTCAGGTAATGACCCTGCTACGATACAGCAGCTATTGCAGAAGATCTCCTTTTTTACTAAAAGCTCCCTCTCACAGTTCATGTCTTGTTTCAGTCTGTGCACCTTGACATCGGCTTCATCATGTCTTGCCAGCGTCTGTGGTTCAACCTCTTCAAGCTGACTTCCTCTCCCCTCTCCTTTCCTTTCATCTTCACCATCTGCGCCTCCTGCAAACTCATGCGGACTTGTGCACAGCGGTGTGGTTTCAGAGGATATACACTGCACTACAGAGGAGCGTTGGCCTCCAGAACTTTAATACCCACTCTGTTGATGTGTGCGTGTGGTTGCTATCAGGCAACACCATCAACCTGTGGACTGCTCGTGTCAATGAGCCCACGCCACCAAAATTACACGTTAATTTTAGTTGTCACGTTTAGCCTGTAAAAACAGTTGTGTAATGATTTCTGCTGCTCTAGAGGGTGCTTTGTAAAGTTTGAAAAAATAACCCTGATGGTGTCAGAGTTGAATTGGTGTGATTGATCTGTAATATAGGAAATCCAGTGTTTTGGGGGTTTGACCTATAATTAAGACAAGTTGGGATATTTCTGGCTCTGCTGCTTCCATAAGTATTTTTAATCTATCGATTGTAAAACCCTTAAAACTCTCGAGGAATAAGCACAGTGAATGGAAGGTAAAGGAAATCTTGGAAAATACTGAAATAAAAAGGCTGCATTCAAAACAGTACCAAAATAAAAGTTGACTACATCAGCATTAGTAAACTTCAGGCTCACTTCAGTGCCCAACATAAAACTAATCATTCTTATACTTTTAATTGTACAATGTGTACAAATTGAGTCTTCTTTCCACCTTTTAAGTCATTCTCCCATTAAATAGAGGGCAGCATATCAAATATCACATCATAACTGCTGCTAACTGCCGTTAGCGAGTTAGTTCAGTTAGCCTTGCAGTTAACTTAATATCAAGGTGAATAACAGCGGCTCTGACCAGGACAATGACAATGACGCAGCAGGTTCAGGAAGGAATAGAAGAGGGTTAGATGAGCGAGAGGGAGGTCAGACATCAGAGAAGCTGCAACAGCGTGTAGAGCCAGAATATTTTCACATCTAACTTGGTGAATTCAGGGTTTATCTTGACCAAACCAGAGTTTGTGAGTGTTGGAACAGTGGAAAACTAACCAAGAGGGTTGAGTTTTATTTTCTTTCTGTCTGGTTAATATGAAGTGTGTTTTATGATGAGTTTGTTCAGTGAAAGAGAGAAACTTGAATTCAGAAGGTGTACAGTTGTATTTTTCTTTTTGATAAGAAAAATAGATGTAAGAATATTTCCTTTTTTGACATTTTGTTTATTTATTGTATTTGATTTGTATGTTTTATATTTACTATACACGTCAGAGAACTGTAGTGGACAAAATTGTAAAATCATTCTCTATGAAATGCAGTAAATTAAAACGGGAAATACTTAAATCTTGTGTACAATCATGAAAGGGAAGAAATTAAACAAGTGAAATTGCTGATTAATTGTGGCAACATCCTCAGGCTATTTGAGCAAGGAAACAGGTAGGCTTATGTGCAATAAAAGCATGGGTAAAGTCTCCTAATCAGGAAATATACTTAATTAGAAGTCCTACATCAAAATTTTACCTACATAAAGTACATTAGTTAAATTTAGACCCACCTTCAAGAAGTTGTCACATTATGTGGCCTGACCCCAACAATGCGTTAATGAGCTTAATCTATGTTTTTTATTTAAAACATGTAGCTGTCAGACATTTTTAGGGGAATGCTAGTAGAATATAAAGAAGTATTCAGATCACTTTACTTGAGTAAAAGGTACTATACCAATTACCAGTAAATGAAGCATTCAAAATTTTACTTAAGCTAAAGTAGGCTACAAATTATTATCAGCAATATACAGCATTCTCAAAACTAAAAGTAGCTATTCACACTTACAGACTGTTATAGCCTATATATTAATCTTTTGGACTATTAGTACTGATGCACTTAACTAATTTATATCCTGACTAGTTTTATTTATAACAACGCACCACATTTGATAAGTAGAAGAAAAAGGAAATACTCAAGTAAAATAATTTAGGCCTACTCACCTGTTGTTGTGTAGGCCTACATGTCAGGGGGAAATAATAAAATGTAAAATTACAAGTAATTGATTAATTGTAGCGATATTGTGTGGACATTTCAGCAATTAGTCCAGCGGTGGGGTTATTTGAGGGAAGTAGAAAATCACTGTTGAGAAAAAATACTTTTTTCTTGAACAACAGCGCGTTTGTGTGGCGTTCGGGGTCAGTGCAAGTTGTCGGGTGGTAACAACTGCGCAATCGCCATTCTTTTACGTAATGACGTACTTGACTACGTCTCCGACGAGCCGAAAATGGCGGAGTACCTGGCATCCATTTTCGGCACAGAAAAAGACAAGTAAGTTTTATTTAATGTTTCTTTTATTCAGCGCTTACAAGATAGGTTTGATACGAAGTGTTTTTGCTGTGGTTCTTCATTTCCAGCGGGATTCGTTTTGTTGCCGCAGCTCTTTTGAATATCCTAGTCAAGCTTAATTTAGCAACAGGAAGCTAACAGGAAGCTAACGCATTGAATGAAACTCAGGAAGGAATCTTAGCTCATCTGCAGCTACTGTGTGTTGTTGCTTTGCGCCAAAATGTGTAATTTTACAAAATTTTCAAAGGTGTTTTGGTACATTGGAAGTATATTTTGTAGGTTATTAAATAGCCTGGCGGCTTGTAGCTCGATTAGCTGTTTAATGTTGTTAGCAGAGTAACTGTTCTGCTTAGGCGGTTTGTTTTGTTCCGTGTCACCGGTGGAGTGCAGCAAAAGGCACCCTACACATTTGCGGTTAATAAAATGTTTGCGATTTACAGAACTAAATATCGCTATAGTTCATTGTACATTTGTTGCAACAGTGTGACGATTATTTGAGTAAGACTACTGGGCATACAAGTAACAACAACAGATAACGTTAGTAAAACAAAACCGGTAAAGTTAAGATGGCCAAGCAGAGGCATCTACCGTCATGTCATTCATTCAAATAAGTGGAGGTACAATATGTTTTATCACTTATCTGATGTTTAAAATTTAAACCCAATAAATGATTTGTGGTAACTTAACTTGTGTTTGTTATTGTATCGTGATATATCAATGATGTAATACTTATTGGACTAACTTAATAGGTGTGTAATAGGTATCTCTAGGATAACTCTGGTTTTTATTTTGTAAACAAATCCTATGAAAACCAAGCCTTCACAGTTATTTGCTACAAGTGTTGCCTGTGTATTCAAAGCCTGATATAGCTTATTCCTCTCTGCCATAGAGCTCCATCAGTGTCAAAAAAAAAAACCACATCAGTGAGCCACGCCATTGCCCTGGACGACATGTTCTACAGTATGATGAACATTGGCCTGGTGCCCTAAATGCTCAGTAGTGCACAAATAATATTGCTAAATGTAGTTCCCCCAAAACACACTACTTTCTCTTGTTGTAGCAAACTTTTCTCAACACTACAGTGCATAGTTCTTTTTAAGAAATGACTTGACTATATATTTTTAACCTGAACTTGGAAATGGTAACTGCAGATAGGTTAGAGAAATATAGAAAAACACAGTCTTTTCATGGAATTTGTTGACAATCACAAAAGTAGAATATTGCTAACAAATCCTTTGCCGAATTAACTGAAAAAACAATATACTATGTGTATGATGAAACTATTTCTTATTTTTCAGGGTCAACTGTTCCTTCTATTTTAAAATCGGAGCTTGCAGACATGGAGACCGCTGCTCGAGATTGCACAACAAACCAACCTTCAGCCAGGTGAGGATCCAACCAAAGTGTTTCTCCCGAAATGTATAAAAAGTGCTGTAATTTCTACATTGGTGTAACCAAAATGTATAAAAATTCCATTTGATAAGTACAGTACAGGGGCAGAAGAAGAATGATTGGGTGACCTGCTGAACTTCATGCCAAAACATTCTGTCCTCTGACTTATCAAGGCGCACACTCTCTTCAAAGGTCATAGCCAATTCAACCAGTGAATACTGTATGAACTGTATTCTGCAAATTATGAAGCAGATTTGTAATAGATGAAAATGTGCAAGGTACATTTTAATGAAGTATATTGGCTGTGTAATCTCTCATACATGGATTCATTTGGCTTTAGTGCTGATGTGCACTGGGGATGAGATATTTCTTCAGAAGTTTGTTTTGTAAATAATAGGTCATGGGTGCGTACTGTGAGTTCTGCAGAAAGTGTTCCAAACCCATATGATTATTTTATTTTTTGGTTAATGTGTTAGAATGTTCAGTAAGTACTTATGAAAGAAAAACATACTCTGTCAGTCATTTAGTATTATGTCAGTTCTTTTTCCCAGCAGTTGTATTTTAGAGCTTATGTTTTGCAATTATGAACTTCTCTAATATCGCAGTTTGTTATTTTTTAATGAGATTATACTGGGTGGATGAAGGTGGTTTACAGAGATTATGCTGAATGATCTTTTGTGTACAAGTTGGAAAATGTCTGGCGCTCAAATGGAGACTTGTTGCACCCCAGGCTGGTTTACAGGCCAATATAACTTCACTTTGGCTTTAGGAGGATGTCGATGTATGGTTGAGTGGAACCCAAAAATTGAGTATACCAGACATGTGGTAATCATAGCTTTTTTTTAACGTTTTAAAGCATCTTGTGCCTGCATGACTATCAAAAAGATGTAAACAAGCTAAGTAGAATCCTGTCTGACCACATACTTCTTTGTTCTGCAGACCATCTTGATTCAAAACATCTACCGTAATCCCCAGAACAGTGCACAGACGGCCGACGCTTCTCGCTGTAAGTAAAACATTTGTCAGCAACCATCTGTTACCAAAAAGTGATGCTCACCTATAACTACAGATTTGAGGTACTGCTTCAGCCCTATCACCTAAGTCCCGAACCAAAAAGCACAAACGCCTGCTTCTGATACTTTAATTTCTCATCCCTGTGTAGCTGAGCTGTCACTTGACTCACTCATTGCAACTGATAAGTATCTGAACAGTGACAAACACAAACAAGGCAAACGGGACTTACAGATTGTGCTAATTGTGGTAAG